AAAAAAAAAAATTCCCCGGGGGGGGGTTAAAAAAAAGGTGCCCAAAAAAAATTTTTAGGGTCCTTTTTTTGAGTTTTCCCCCACAAAGTTTTTTCCCTTGGGGCGCTTTTTTTTGGGGGGTTTTGCCTGAGAGGGGCGAAACCCAGTTTCCCCTTTTTGGGGGTTGGGGGCCGGAAGGGTGGTTTCTTCCCCCTAAACCTAAAAAAAAATTTGTTGCTCCCGTCCTTGGGAAACTTTGGGGGACCTCCCTTTTTACATGACCCCTTTAGCCCCTTGTTTTTGTATATTTTGCCCCGTTCTTTTTGCTCTCGTATTTTGCCCGGTTCTTTTTGATTCTTTTTGCTTCTTTTTTGATTTTGATGTGATGGGAAGATAACATACCAAGTTGATGATGCCGGCAGGAGTGGCCTTGTCTTCGGCACGCTTGGCAAAGAAGAGCAGGCCCTTGCCGGTCTGGCTGGCCCAGGCAGCGTTGGGGTGAGCAGTGCTGAGCTTTTCATTCTGGAAGTACGAGGTGAGCTGCTTGCTCTCGACGGCCTCGTCGCTGAACCAGAAGTGTCTCTTGACGAAGCGGAAGCTCCTACAGAGAAGTTTGTTAGCTTTACACACCTCTCTATATACATGCACAAAAGCAGGCAGGCTGTGCTACTTACTTGACGAGACCTGGGGCCTTGTATCCGAGCTGGCCGTCGGTGGCTGGGACGACCTCCTTAGCAGCGGTCTCCTCCTTGGCCGGCTCCTCAGCAGCGGCAGGAGTCTCTTCGGCGACCTTGACGGGCTCCTCAGTGGTTGTAGCAGCGGCCGCGGGCTCGGTGGCTGCGGGCGTCTCGGTAGCGGGGACAGTGACGGCGGTGACGGTCTCTGGGACGACGGCGGGCGTCTCCTCGATGGGCTTCTGGACTTCAGACATGGCTGTTTGTGGTCGTCGTGAGTTCGTCGGGGGCGTGTCTGTGTTGTTTAACGTGTGTGTGAACGTGTTGTTGGTGAAGCGGGTTATTAAAAGTAGCTATGGGCGTCCTTCCTGGCTGAGGGGCGGAAACGGGTATCTCGGGTATCACGAAGAAGCGAAGAAAAAGGAGGTTTGATTGATTAAACTAGTATAGAGACGAGCGACCTCTCTCTCTCGCTGCGGGTAATTATTAGAGCAGGAAAAAGGCTGAAGCAAGCAAAAAAGAAAAAGAAAAAAAGGTATCACTGGGTATCTCAAGAAAGCTGAAGAAGGTGAAGCAGTTGGAGGAGAAGAAGAAGAAGAAGAGGAAGAGGAAGAACGAGGAAGAAGAGAAAAGGTCGCATTAATATTTGCGGCCGAGGAGGAAGCTTTTATTTGGCTCTTTTCCCGTTTGGGCGATAAATTACCAGGACTGGAAAAACAAAAAACAGAAAAAAGGGAGGAGCTCGTGACTTGTAAGGTAAGCGCGATACGAGAAAGGGCGGTAACTTACGCCGGGCGGGGGCAGCCCCTTTTTGTCGCCCTGGAACCCGTCATGACAGACCGCGTATTACCCGTACCCGCCCACCTCCCGCTCGTCTGCTCTGCCTCGTCGTCGTGCAGTTCGATGATCAGCCGTATGGTACGGTCACTTACGGGACGAGACGGTATGCTTCTTTCTTACATAAGCCCAGCGGATACCGCTATAGACACGCCAGAGACGCCATCGAGCGCATCAAGACAGCAAAGACAGACAAGACAGCCCATTTATTAGTTACTCCATAGAAGCAGAGACAGAGGAGACATGCAGGTACTTCACTCCGGCCTCCGTGGCTGGCCGTCACCCTGCGTGACTATGTAACTTATGTGCGCACTTTACTCCCTCTGCATGGGCACTCAACGTCTCGACTCTTGATTCTGTTCTGTTGACTCTGTTGATTCTGTATTCTTCTACTAAGGAACCCCTTGATACCACGTGACTCCCCTATTTCGGGTGGAGAACTCTCTTTTGGCTTGGCACAAAGTCACATGTTCATCGCTTTTTGCCTTTTTGTCGTCGTCGCTTTTCGATTCTACTCGTCGAACGAGCCGGTTTGATAGCCGGACGAGGGTGTCTGGGGAGATGAGCTGAGACGAGACGGCGAGGATGCAGGGAGAGACTCGACTGGGCGACCTGCGACTGACTGACTGACCAGCTGGTGGCGAGGCCAGCGGGTGCCAGCGAATCGCCAGATGGAGATGCCCTTTTCCCTCTTCTCCTTCCCTCCCTTAGCACGCTCGCGCTATTGACTGGTGGAGCACACGGCCGAGGGCCTGAGATTGGATATACGGGAATTACAGCCAAATACAAGATTAATTATTGTATAGTAGGGCCCAGCAGGTCGACGGACGAGAAGATCGAAACTTCGGTCGGTTCCTGCCATCTATCATTATTGCTATCATCATATAAAATAAATTACTGCTATCGCGTAATAGTGGAAACACGCCGTCGCTCGCCTCGTTCGAGAGCCCATACATACCATACTCCGTACATACATATTGGAAGCGGACTGCCAAAGAAGTATAAAGTACCCCTTTTTTTTTCCCTCCTCTTTTCTTTTCTTTTTTCTTGTTCTTCGCCTTTATCTCTGCGACGCTAGGCAAGGGTAGCTGTGGCCTTGTCGCCAGGAGCTCTCTGCTCAACAGGGCCCCTGCGTCAGGCCACTTGAAACTTGCTGCCGACACAACTCAACCAGCTCCGGTTGGGGGGAGGGGGGGACCATCTGTCACGGTACGCGAGGGGAGTCATGTCTAGGCCCTCGTCGGTTCTCCGTGGACAAGAAGCAGACTTTGGGAGACAGGAAACAAGTAAAACACGGTTCCCGCCCCCCCCTGGTCTGGTCATCTCATCAATTTCGCCCTTGATAGCAAAGTGAACCGATGGGGCTGCAAGAAGGGGAGAAGGGAAAAAAACTTTGGATGGCCGGCAGTCCACTCCGGGCATCTGTAATCAGCGTGTGGCTGTCAAAACGTATCTAAAATGAGCTGTTAGCGCCAGTCGATCGTACAAGGGGGAAAACCCATGGAGCTTCTTTTTTCTTGTGTGTTGTTTTTTATTTTTCCCTGTCTCTTTGCTTCTTCCCCCCTGACCACTGGGGCCATCGTCCAATCGTGCGTGCAGGGGAAGATTAAAAGCCGTTTGTCGCCCAATTGATAAGGGAACTCTGAATGCAAAAGCGGGGAGGGGAGGGAGGTGCAGGGAAGAGGAAACATGAAGAACTTACGATGTGATGCTCTCCGTCCGCTCCGCTGTCAACTTCAAACACACCTTCAGCAACTCCAATGCAACAGTAGGTTCCTTTGCCTGGAGCGTCTCCCACTCTTTCGTTCCCAGCGTCCAAACGACACAGTCTCGCTCTACCCTCACCGTCGCGCTGCGGCTCGTCTCGCCAAAGAAGGAGAGCTCACCACATGGTCGGCCAGCCACGATGAGCTCAAAGTAGCTTCGCCCTTGTGGAGTGGCATGTTCCGCTCGTAGCATACCTGACTCCAACAGGAAGAACTGGTCCGGATAGTCGTTCTCGCGGTACAACACCGACGATGCTGCAAACTCGGCCCGTGTAAAGTATGGGCACACGGGAAGCCAGAACTCGGCAGACTTGGTGCTGAGGCCCTGGAAGGTTTGGAGAAGCAGCGGGAGCGGCTGCTGCTGCTGCTGCGCCGGCGACAGGCGTTTGTGCAGGATCTTGCCTGACCGAGTGTCTTCGGCCTCCTCCCGCAGGAAGTTGGACGCTAGCTGGTGCAGGTAATAGCCGCGAGGGCTGTTGGCTGCCATGTCGGCCGCCAGCGTCTGCGCGTGGGCCTTGTTTACTGGCTCTATATGAAACATTGGCTTAGCATTATTGATCCGCCCCTCACCCAATAATTAATCTGTTATTGGGCATCAACCAAACGGATATTATTGACTTACTCAGGTTTCCTTCGCCAGGAGATAGCCCCGGTGGAGTCTCCCTGTGCTCGTGGATCGCCTTCAGGGACTCGTTCTCACAGTGCTCAAGCGCAGAGTTCAGATCTTGGAAAATCTCAACCGCATCGTCCAGCCCAAACAGACCGACGTTTTGCAGACTCTTCGCAACCTCGCCCGTGATATCAAGGCCGCATACAAGCATATGCACCCCCTTCTTCTTTAGTATCCTGTTCAGCCTGGTAAAGGCTTCGGCAGCGGAAAAGTCTAGTCCGTTGACATATGAGAAATCCAGTACTAGGAATCTGATGGGTCGTTCGCTGAATGCTTCTGCATCCACCAATCCGCGTATCCGCTTTTCAACGCTGACGATGGTCCCAAAGAAGAGGAAACCGGCAAGCTTGATGACGAATGTCTGTTTTCCTGCTTCACGTAGGAACCTTGCGTGCAGCGGGTGTCGCCGAACGGTAGAAAGGGCCACTTGGCCTGTGTATGTTGCTGTTATCGCAGATTTTTGTGATGTTTGAGCCACAAAGTTGACACACGCGAGAATGATACCCACAATGATACCAGCAACAAAGTCCCATGCTCCCATTGTGACAACAATAGTCACAACCTGGTCCACACAGTTGAGATTAGCAGGTGGACCGTGCAAATTTAACGAAGTTGGGGCCATAACTTACTGTCAGATACTCAAGCCTATGCAGCTTCCCCCACGTATCAACCAGCGCTTCCTCGAGAAGCTCAATTCCAAGCATATAAATCAGAGCACCAACAACCATGATCGGAATATACCCAACTATACCAGGCCCAATGACAAGAATGCCAAACGTACCAATAGCCAGCATAATCCCTGCTAGTCGGTGATTGCCTCCGCTGGCAATGAAAAGAAGACTGTTCGTATATACAAGGTAGTTCTAGCCAACCTGTTAGCACCTGTCCTGATTGAATCAAATAACGGTGAAGTAAAACAATACCTGCACACTACCAGCAAACCCAGAAAATACATTGGAGATTCCATGTGAGACCAGCTCTCGGTCTACATTCAGATGATCTTCGCCAGTCGAAATGCCAAGCGCAGGAACGTTAATAGGAACATGAAGAATGCCAAAAAATGTTAATGCAAACATTGCTGGAATGGTTTCTGCAAGTGCAGACCAGTGAACCGCCGAAAAATCTGTGTCCGTGGTAAGCTTCAAAATTTACTCTATCCCATAAGGCAGATGATACATACCATATAACGTGTAAAAATGGTACCATGGCTGTGAAGATGCAGGAGCATAAAAAACCCACCCTCCTTCTCTCAATGAACTCATAGAAGTATTCGTAATAAACTTGACAACGTAAAACCCAACCCCGATGGCCAAAAAATAAGCACACAGAAGGAAATTAGAACGTATGAAACGCTTCAGAACAAGAAGACCAATGGCAAGGAGTAACGGAACCGTCCACAGAGGTATTGTATCAAGCTGGAAAAGCTTTTCTAACGTTTTAAGGCTGTACTCTAGATTTCCTGATAGTCGAGCTGATATTTCAATACCAGTAACGACAAGGAACCAGCCCACGCCACCAATGCAGCCAATAAGAATGTGGCGGGGGAAAAAACCAATTAAGGAGCCAAGTCGACACGCTCCCATGCTAAAGAATACGACACCCGTGAGGATCGCACTTAGAGAGAATGCTAGGATTGTTGTTGCATAAACAGCTCGGGGATCATCTTCTCCAACACGGTTGAGGATTTGCATTGCCATTGCGTGGAAAAATGGGACAACCTCAATCATCTCTGCGCCGACACCACCTTTGAATACCGAGCCTCCGCAGGAGAAGACCAATTGGGATATGATGGTGCTGACGTAGAACATGGCAATACCATCTGCTCCCATGGCGGCAAAAATGGGTTCACCCAGCGGGAAGAGAATCATTCCGTAGGAAAGGGCATCTAGTACGTTGAGGAGCAGGCCTAAGAAGACAGCTGGGAGTAGGTTGAGGGGTAGCTCTACTCCATTTTCATATATGGCTTTCTTGTTCCAGGTCCGTGGGCTGAATATGCTCTTTACCCATGCAGGAGGTTGCGAAGTCACCCACCTACCCAAACTCGCTAAATCCGGCCGTTGGGGTCCATTTTCTTCAAGGTCGTCAGGTATGGCACCATATTTGGAGCTGCTCTGAACTCTGATCAACGGAGCCTGTTCGGGGTCTATGACCCGAGGTATCGATGTCACCGGGCGGTGGTGACCAGCGTGCCCTTCCTCGTCATCCTCATCGGGTTCTTGTAAAGTCGGGCCTCTCCCAGATTGTGCAGGAGCACTAGTTGACTTCTTTAAGGGGCTCGTTGGAGACGATCGCAGCATGGCAGTCAGGGCTGATTCACCCACGAAAGAGGGAAAGGCAGATCCTCCAGGGGTAGTTGGTTCGGACCTCTCTTCAATTGCCTCAGGCCGGGACCGAGAGCGAGTAAGACGCTCTGATACTCCATCTACAACCCAGCCTTCCCTGGCGAATAAACCCCCAGCAGAGGTAGATAGATCACTTGCATAACCCGAGAGTGACTTGTGGCTAATTGATTCGGCGTCTGATAGGGCAAGAGACTCTAGCTCTGCAGTTCGTTCTCTAACTCCTTGTGAGGAGTATTGGGCAGTGTCTAAAGAATAGGCAATTGTTAGTGTTTTTTATCACAAGTAGAATGGATACTGGATACTAGCACACACCCAATGGCCCATTAAATGTTCGATGATAGAATGATCGCGTTGGTGTCTTCTCGCTAACAGACACACGACGACGTACTGAAGCTCCGTTGAAAGCATCTGGAGCTTGCAAGAGGTCGGGATTGTGACCCGTAGCCGTAGCCGTAGCACTCACTCTTCGATCCATAGCCGGGCCAGCATCTCTCAGGAAGCTTAGGTTGGACAAGGTCGACGAACGACGCCTGCCAGTGGCTGGGGGGTTTTTCCCCTTTCCTCCATCCATCTTGTTGCTTTCCACGACCCAGGAAAGCGAGAACGGCACTAGAGAAGATGGAGGATCAAAGGGGTCGTATCTCAAGCCTACACCAAAATTTGTGGAGGGTACATTCTCATGGAAGTTATGTTAAGAGGGGGGATGGGGACATGTGCAAACGAGGAGGCGATGGTCGAGATCTTGAATGTCTCCCCTCTTGGTCTTGTGATAGCTTCTCCGTACCAGACCTAGGCTGGCGGAGCAAGGAATGACGCAAGGAGGCTAACGAGATACAAGGGTGGCCACCAACTTTCGGGTGAATACGAAGTATCTTTGGAGACGTTCACAAGTACCTCAACCGCAAGCTTAATGAAGACGACAGACGTCCGTTTCCAGGTGCAAGGCCGTCGAAGTTGGGAGAGCAGAAACACACCGGTTATCCCGCTCGGCCGCTTTGTCTCAACATCCTTGACTATATTAGTCCCTGGCGATAAGATCGGTAAATGGCCTGGATAGCCCCGGCGAATGTGGCGACAATGCATGGCCGCTGGGCTTTGACACCGCGCTAGTCGCGAACTAGCTACATGGTTAGCTGGTTTACTAGAAGTCTCCCCGCCTCCCCCAAGACCTCGCCAGCCAGCAGGGGTAGCTTTAGAGCCATGTATAGCGGCAACGATGACCTTACCTCTTGCTAGCAGGGTTTCCACGAGCTTCATCTTATGGTCGACATCCACGTCTTTCATCGCCTTTGCAAAGCGACAAAATAAAGATGATGTTGAAGTTGGCTTTAGATGCCAAGACTTACGCTTATCTAACTGACATTTTTCTTGGCGATCTTGATGACAAAGACGCTCGAGCCGCAAGATGGTGTCTTGGACATTGCCATGTGACTACAAAACAAAGTTCCAGAGTTAACAAGCAAGTACCTAGTATATAACATAGGGCAGGATGCTCCAGGCGCCTTAGTACGTATTCATCATTACAGATTATTTCGCTTTGCTAACTGATCATAGAACCAACGCTAGGCTAAGAAATGACCTCCAAAGCCTTCGGATATGGACGCACGGGTCGTTCACGCAGCTGTTGGTCGTAACCCACTTTCTTTCTCTTAAATTCCTAAGTCTACAGATTCAAAAACGAACGAAAGGTGTACAAGACTGGAGAAACACAGCGGGAATACGACTTCTTGAAAGATGCGGGAGACTGTGCCGTTAAAGTGTTTGGAAGATCGTTTCTACAGTATGGGGAGGGAACGGTCGAGCTACGGGGCCTCATCTTGAGCCTTGAGATGCCATTTGACCCAAAAGCTATCGAACCATGCCGACGCAAAAAGCTGATGAGTCAAATAACCTCAATCGTTCATGAATTGCACAGTAAAGGTATCATCCATGGAGATGTCGAGCCTGCCAACATCCTTTTATGCGCAGATGGATGGCTGCGAATATGTGACTTTAGCGAGTCAATAAGGACGGATGAAGACCCTGATGAAAGATGAATGGGACGGTATGACAACAACAAACTATGTATCACCAAAGAGGGCTCGGAGCTGGCCTGATTTGACTGATCCGCCTCCAGCGATTGAAGATGACCTCTATGGAGTCGGAGTAACTATCTGGGAACTTTATACCAAGAAAATGCCCTTTGAAGACTGGTATATCGATGACATTATGTGGCATCTCAACAGTGGAAAGACCGTGGATGTTAGCGAAGTTGAAGACTTGGAGGTGCAAGATATAATCTGCGAGTATCCTCGCAATGGCGGCGCAAAGATATAGGGAGCTTCCGGCAGGAATGGATATGAACGGCGTCTGTTCTTTGACAGAGGGAGATACCCGCACTGGATATACGACACATTATATCAGATATTAATATTACGAGTACTGGTCGTTTTGTTTAAATGGGCTCTCTGGACAGTATTTTACCCTAGTGACTGTACGTCTGTCCTTCAGCTACTCACACGTATCTGCTCTTCGACATCTAGCTAAAACGTTTAGAATCTAGGAAGATTAGTAAAGCATACCAAGCTATACACTTCCCCTTATATAAACCCTTTCTTCAGCCACATCATCCCCACGGCAAGCTAAAGTAAACACATTAGGCACTTAACGACATTACTATTCAGGATATTTGATTGATTTGGATCCCATATATCTCGATTATATGAAACTCTCCGTTCTTAGCTGTTCTTCCCTAAATTTACATCAACTGCTGAATTCTATCGAGGATGGAGATTTCAATTAATATCACTAACCTTATCTATATTTACATACTGAATTTAGAAGACAAGCTCCCCATTTGTTTAGAATAAATCGTCTAGCTTCTCCTTACTTTGATATATAATACTCGAAATGGAGCATTGAGCTGCTATGTAGCTGGGCTCTCAGACACCATATCAAAGCACTTCCTTGGCTGTCCCCGCTGCTCAATATCCCGGTCTTAATTCAAATGTCCCAGTTCTCAAAATAATTGCTCTGACAGAGTCCTCCTTGCGCGGGTGAGTAAGCCTGGCAACTATTGGCGACCCGTACTCGAGGTTGCATTTATACGGTTGACTGAACCGAAGCTTAATCTCCCCACAAAGTTGTAAGTTGATTCCATTATATGAATCGAGTTAAGGGGAAAATATATTCCATTCATTTAAGGAGAGTCGGCAACCTTATTCCCCGCTCCAGACTAGAATGTCTTTAATCCCCTACAAACCCCTTGGACCCCCCATCTTCCACCCAACCAACTTCTTGCCAGCTCAATGATGGCTGCAACCGTGGTATTCGAGAAACCAAACTCGGGGATTCCTCTTCGCTTCTGCCACGTTGTCTGAGCCTTCTTTAGTCTGCTTCTGCGTTAGCAAGCCCTTACCAACAATCTCACAACACCATCTGGAAGATACACCAAAAGACATTGCCGGAGATGCGGCATAATTGGCAGGTTTCTAACAAGGATTCTAAAACTCTCTCCCACGTTTATGGCGACCAAGGATCCTCAAGAGTCAAATGAAACGAAGCATTTGACTTTGAAGATGTAGATGGTACTTCCAAGGCTGGTGGCCATTAAAAGTCGTTCAACTTATAGTTTTCTCCCACATGGCTCAATATTGGCGAAAGGGTAATTTTCAACTTAATCGTTGGAGGTACCCTTGAGTGATTAGTTGCTCTACATCGCCCAACCTCACGAAGAACTGGCTGTTCTTTGTCAAATTGATCGACCTATGTACCGTGCTCGCAAAGCAAAGAGGTCAATATCATCAGCCTTTCAATACGGATAGTGTGTAGGACCAGAACCACGTGGCTGAAGGTTGAGCCGTATTTGGAGTGAGGACTCTTACCCGTATTCAGTCTGAATTTCTCCCGCATCCTTCAGAACCCGAACATCGATGTATAATTCTTTGGGTGGCTCTAGACCACCAGTTAAATCGATATCAGTCCAGTGGCCCTTATACGCCATCAGCATCTCATTATATTGTCGAAAGTATTCTTCTTCCACTGGCGTGAGGGAACTGTTGTAGTGGGCGTTTGAGAGAGACGATCTGTCAACTCTGGGCGTTCCATGTTCTTCGCTGTTATTGTTCTCGTTCTCGATTTCCCGCTGCCGCTGCTGGTGTTCTAGAGGGTCTATGCCGTTCCAGCACATTTCTTCTATTTTCTCTGCTCTGATTCTATGATATGTGAGGAGACAACGTTTGTTTCGCCGCATTGATAAATGATCAACTAATAGAGCACAGGCGGTTGCAGGGTCATCCGCGGGGTTAAATGATGAAGGAGGGGCACCCCCTTCTCCTCCTTCTGAGGCGATTCGAGCTTGCTCTAGTTGTTCAAGGATACGGGCCACATCTTTGTCGAGGTCACGGACTTCGCGCGTCACGGCTTGGACAATCTCGCGTTGGTAGGGGGGGAGGTATGCGAGGGACTGGGTGCGTTTGGCATGTTGAATCTAGGCAAATCAGCATACTACGCAAGGAATATGTATTAAATGAATAGTTGTATTCAGTATACAGGGCAAAGTAACATACCAGCTTGGTTCCCAAATCACCGTACATTTCGAGGGCGAATGCGGTAAACTGCAAGGTGAGGTTTAATTAATTGAAATATAAGAGTAAGTCAAGGGAGACGCAGCTCTAGCAGTCCCCTGCCGACGAAAGAAACCAGATCTCCCTATATATCCTTTATAATTAGACAATGCTGGCAATAAGCACACAGCGGAAAATGGAGTTTCTTGTTTCTTGTTGGAGTGCGAAAAGTTGAATCTCAACAATCACTGTAATCGAGTACTTATCGATAACAAGTTATTTAACCTAGGTAACTAGTTAACTAACTAATCACAGCCGTGCCAAGCCATCGGCGAAGATAAACAACGTCAAGTGTTAATTCACCATTTTACTCTATGGACCAAAGTGAGGATATGAAAGTGAATTAGATCTTATTTCCGTGCGAAGGGCGCATTTTCTAGCAAAACTAATTTACTGCAGGGAAATATTCGAAAAACAAAAAGTCACTATTACCAACCCAGATAATGATGATGATGATGATGCAAAAGTCTCACGAATGGAAAAGGTATCCAAACGAAACGAGAAAGCCTCCGATGGCATGAGCATGAGCATGAGAAGTAATAGCGGAGAGAATGAGGGAAACTCGTTGAGAAACGGGATGATGGCAGAGAAAGATGCGTGATATCAAGAAAGATGCCGATGCATAAAAAGAATAAAATGGGAAAAAGACAGGGATCCATTCCGGTAATTTTTCCAATCTCGACTCTAAAAGAAATCAGGTTTCATGGAGAAGCCAATAAGAGGGAAATGTTCGATACCACGGTGATAACGCCAGCATCCCAAATCACCCTCTGTGCGCCTGCAATCCGCATCCATGTATTCAAAAGAGCCGTAATTGCCGGTGCCACCGTGGGCATGAGACAAAAAGGGGGAATAAAGGGGAACATTGTTCAATAAAACATGGGGAGAAGGAAAGTTGAGTTTCGAAGAGATTATGAATAGGTGGTCGTTGATGGAAAGGGGGACAAAATGGGACATCTTCGTCGACATTCTGTCCAAGGATTAACCAGCGGCTGTATTTAGTTTACAGTCGATCCGCTGAACCATTCGGTAAACTCTTCGCCTGGCACGGTATGAGTGTTTGCCCATATAACACGGTCAGCCGCTATGCCAGTGGCCATCGATGAAGGCGGGAGTGATGCCTGGTTGTATTGTTCGCTTTCGGGAGCCGACATATACCCGTGAACATAGTTTTGGTTATTAGGGGGGTTGAATTGCCAAAAGTCATTCTGGTTCCCAAAGGCGTTGCCGGTATCTATTGGGAGGGAAGTGCTTGTGGGTTCAAAGTCCAGTAGCTGGGGATCAACCTGGACTTCTCCCATGGAGACAGACATTCGGTTCTGTGGTAGTGGCTGTGACTGAAGAATATCCTGATGGATGGTTCCGGGAATATTGGCCATTTGGGGGGTATTGTCATAGGTCACTCCGCCTGGCATACCGATCTTCTTGTATGTCACATCTTCGATGTTCGATCCAAGGAGACTCTGATGGATCGATGGCTGGTAATAATGGGGCTGCTCAGGCTGAGATATAATACCAGGATGAGGTCTGCCGGGGTTAATCATCTCCCAGGACGAGCGGTTGGCATCCCCGCCTGCGTACATGTCGAACTGTGAATGTGGGATGGGAGTGCAGTTGCGGCTGTCATAAGTGCTGTCGTTGTCGCATGGAGTGGAGTTTCTGCTATTACTAGCGTCGCCGTTGAGGCCCAGAGTTCGTCGCCTGTTTGGTATACGGGGGTAAGATGTGATATCAAGGGGCTGGTCTTCGAGGTCGCTGAGCTCTTCCTCGTGGGAACGCTTCCTCTTAGACGCAGAGCCCGGGGCTTTGCCTCCATTCTGGCTCTTCGGTGTGCCTTGGTTCTTGTTTGGTGCGAATTTGTAGTCTGGGTGGGCTTTATGGTGGTTGTCTCGCTCTATGGTTGCATATTGTTCATACAGGTCTCGAATCTCCCGAGGCTCAAGTGGCCAGCTCTGGCCAGAGGCTCGTGAAACGACTTGATGATTGTTTTGCGCACACCATTCCTTTGTCCGCTCCGCATAGGCTGACCGGTATAACATGAAGGAGTTCATAGGCCGTGCGATTTTACCGTTCTTCACCCTCACTTCCTCCAAACGTGCCTCCTTTGGACGGTTGACCCATGCGCCCATATCGCGAATGGGGATGTGTGCCATGTTCTTCGTCAGCTCACTGAGCGGAGCATCTATGGTTGGCCCGTCCCCCTTGTCAGTCTTCGCCGGCTTTGGTCGCCGTCTGAGTTTCGCTGGTCTTATTATGCGGACCCTCTCGTCGGTATTTGACTTGGCTACAGCCAGCTCCTCTTTGAGATCCTCTACTGTTTCTCCAGCACTAACGGTGGCTGGCACTGGCATCTCTCCAGCGCGGTGGTATGTCTGTAGTAGTATCATGCTTAGCAGTGATTCTTTCACTCTCCACCAGTACTGATTCTGCTGCAGTATCTTATCTCAGACTACTTACCAGGGCTGGGAGCGACGTTTCATGTTCACCTCTGGCCATGCTGTGATACATAGTATTGGATTCATATCCGTTCTGCTATTTTCAAAGAGTTCTCTGTTAGATATAGAGCTTTATACCAGATCAGGAAGCTAAATACTGACCATTGGGCCGCTCATAGTTGGGGTCCTAACTTCTAAACAGTTATAGGAGTATGGTTCCCTTGTGGAGATATACCCAAACTGCTGCAGTTGCTGTGGCTGATTGTGAGAATATGTCTGATGATATTGTTGCTGTAGTTGCTGTTGGTGTTGCTGAAAGCTGGTCTGTGATAGTGCCTGCGGACTCAGCTTAACATCACCGTCATTCGATGGTGGAGGAGACGGAGGCTGCTGGTTGAACATGATAAACAATAGCAGCAAGACAAGCCTTTCTTTTCTCCTTTAATGGCTTTTTAAGAGAAGGTCTATGTCCCTTGCGCAGAGAGTAAGAAGGTAAGGAAGGAAAAAAAAGGTGGGTATTATCAGGAAGAAGAAGGGCTTGTTCGCAGGTTATGAATGAAAGATTTGCTTGCAGGCCTGAAGAGAAGAGGGGCTAACAAGAGGCGAAGGAAATCTCCGCGACAGTGACAATAGGCTGCTCTCAGATTGTTTTACCTCAGTTTGAGCGGCTGTCACTGGATGTCTGGATAGTGCCTTACTATCCAGATTGGTGTTTCATTTGAGTAGAACAGAGACTGCGCTTGATAGGAGGACTGGGCCGGAGGAGCTATGACCAGCGAATCGAGGTCTTTGCAGGGGCTGCAGCAAAAGGAAAAGAAAAGACCACTTCCTCCCCAATGAAAAGAAGATGAGAGAGCTGCACGCTGGCCCCGGAGTTGCAGCTTGAGAAGCAGGATATATCAGAAGCCGGGAGCGGTAGCCCTCGCGGCTTGTGGCTGCGCGGGAGTTGAGAAGGGGGAAAACGGCGAGATGAGGCGCTTGCAGAGGCTTCTCCTGCAGCTGGTGAAAGAAAATAGCAGGAAAACGGCCGAATCCGGAGCAGACGCAGTGGATGCAAGTGGGATCTTCCGGCAGGCGAGCTCCTCCAAGTGAATATTGAACGGAAGTTCCCTTTTCTCTGGCGTTCTTTTGTCTTCTGGGCTTTGCTTCTCTCAGTTTGGAAGACGGATTGATATCCTCTACCCCAACCAGGACAGCTAACAGGGGCAATGAAAGGCCGAAGTGAGAAGAGAGTGAGAAGGACGGAGTGAAGGACTGAAAACAAATAAGGTAAGGGGGGGAAAGGGGACAGAAACCTCCCTAAACTGCAAATAATATAGCAGCAGATGCCAGTGGATACCCAGGCTGTTTCTCTTCTGCTTGATGAATTTATTGCAACCACCCGCCTGATTACCTAGAGAAGCAGGAAATAGGAGTTTGACTAGATTCGCAAAGACCCTATTTCAGAGAGTCTAAGAGAGAGTTGAAAAAAAAAGGACCGACTGCGAATCAGAGACATGCAGGTTGGCCAGCTAGACCTGACCGTTTCTTTCCTTAATATCTAAAACATATGATTTCCGGCCTTGTCAGCATATCCATATTGGCTATTATCTCCCTCTGCTATGGATGCAGGCAGGATACCATTAACAAAACATGGCGCCTTGTGATGAAGAAGATGTGATAGTAAGGGGCTCTCTATGAAGAACATCCCCCCATTCTTTGTTGCATGAGATTGATCTTTGTACTGACCTTGCAACGGATGCAGAAGAGATAATGACAGCCTCCCCCAGATTTCTAGCAGCTCTTCCGCTTCTCACTATCCTCTATGGATACCGGGATAGCGGCTGAAGATGGTTCCGTTTCTCTCCTCCTTTGCGCGCTTGTTGTTTCCCCGTTCTAGGGCTCCTTTTGTTTCAACTGCGGGCGGACAAGCTGGGGAGATACTGTTGTTGAAAGCAATTGCGCGGTAGTGGTAGGCTGATTGGTTTGACTGCTTGATTGATGGGAGCTGTTGGACTGAGATTGGGGAGCGGCCTGGCCCTTAGTCCTCGATACTGACAAGGGAGCTTGTTGCAGAAGCAAGGTGGGAGAGCAAGGGAATGATATAAAGAAAGGCCCTTTTTAACTACGAAGATTTGCGGGTTCCACTCATGTCAATATAAGCAGGGTCATGGCTGGAAACAGAGGATAAAGTAGAGGCTTAATGAAGAAAAAGCAAGACGTGGGAGAAAAAAGCAAGCTCTTCAAGATGGAGCGAGAAATGGTGATAATTAAGCCGCGCCGGCGGATATGTATGTATATGTAAAGAGTCGAAAAGGTAAAGCGAGCTAAAAAGGGCGAACAGTACATATGGACATACATGCATGTCAGGGAAGTGGTTAGAGGTTTATTTTTCTCACCATCTGCAAAGCATAAAAGGACTTCCAAAGAAAAAAGAAAGAAAGACATGTACAGTTAGTCCTGTTTATAAGCACAGGAGGGAAGTCTGGGTGATAGACATGGGCTGGAGCAGCCAGGCTTGCAACTTAGGGGCCCCCGGTCTTTTGCTTTTGCTGTTTTTAGTCTGGTTCAACAGGACATTTTATGTGGAGATAGATATCAAGTAGAGGGGAGTAGCATACCGAAGTACTGGCTACCTCGATACCTCATCCGGCTCCCCACCCTTCGTGTATCTCGTACGCTTTGTACCCCCCCTATGCCTAACCAGAGCGAAAGGCTATGGGCCATACCCGAGGTCACTGAGACTACGTTGAATACTAAATAATTCACGATGCTAGAACAGTACGCTGTAGCTCGGCATGAAGGAGGGCGGAGTTGGCAAGCAGGCAAGCAGGCAGGAAAAGAACCTGACATGGACCCTGAAGCCATGTATTTTTGAAACTTTTTCTCTCGACCTGGGTAGGGTAATCTGAAAACGCCCGCACGTTTTTTTTCCCCCAGCTTGCGTTGTGCTATAGATGGGGAAATTCTCAAATCGCACGATAGAAACTAGGGGTTGTTGTTGTTGTGTTTTTACCCCCTTTGCATATTTTGCAAAATAGATAGGTGTTAGACAGCCGGACTTGTCTAGGATGCTCCCTGAGGCCGATCTTGATATGATGATCAACGCCTTTTCTGCTGTTCCCCTCGACCTTGATGCACATAAAGATGCAGAAAATCATCAGCATACGTTACCGCATATGGAAGGGAAAGGTATGGAGGGCGGGAGGTAGAGAGAGATGGCTATGGACCCCAACTGGAGACATGCATATGCGACATAGACATACGCCCACTCCAAACCCGGCTGGTGATCTCAAGAACGGTACGCCAGTTGATCGCCTCACATCTGCGCGTCACTGTTTCTGTCCTCCAACTTCGCCTTCCACCGGCTGCCGGATCATGTCTCCCGTCTATCCAGAGACAGAGAGGGAGAGAGTTCCTAGAGGGAGGAGACGGGATTAACTAAACGTGTTTCCAACACCCCCCAAAAAAAAAAGAAAAAGAAAAGAGTGAGTGTGTGAACAGAGCAAGAGAGTTGTGGGTACAGAGTACATCGACAAACCTATCTGAGCTAGGATGCAAAATTCCTCAATATCACACCCAGCCCTGCGCCGTGACTGGCTTCCACTGTGGCGGGCTCGAGGCCTGCTGTTCAGCGAGGAAAAAAAGATGAAAGTTCCGCGGCCGTCCATACGTATCATCCGGCCTAGGCAGAGGACAACCCTGGCGTTCTACTATTAGTGTGTCGCTAACATGTTCGTTTTGGCTTTTTTCCATCCTCCCGCGACCTTCCTCTACTGCTCATGCTCAGGATAAGTTCGACTAATGTTTGTCTTCGGCGAGTGAAGAGTTTTCTCCTCCTGGCATATCGCCGAGTCGAAGCAAAGAGGGGATTGACGCCGCGAGCGAAATGAAAACGGCCGGTCTTGTTTCGGATGACCTGAGACTTATTATGCGGAAGCCGGCAGAGGCTGTAATCCAGATGCTGCTCCTCTTCCTGCTGCTGCTGCTGCCAATCCAGTCGGTTAATCAGTGATTATGCAGGCTGGGAGAGGCAAGAAAATTGGCTGGCTGCGGCGTTGACAGAGACAAACGAGCACACATCGCTTGTGACTGGCTTCTTGCTCGGGGAAACTAGTTTTGGGATTAGAGGGCCTCAAATGGCCCTGCATATCAGTCACGATATTAGTTATCATTTTCTAATTGACTGGGTCTAGATAGTTACGGAGGCCGTCCAGGCGGCCGCAGATGGGGTGGTCAGGGCATAACCGTTGCCTTGGTTGCGCTATTATAATTATTCGTTCCTCCGTTTGTTGGTGTTTTATTTTTTCTTCCCACGGTTCTCCCCTCAATCTGCGCCCCCACAGGTGAAGACGGGCGGCCAGTAACAGATTGACCCCCAGAGCAGTAGAAAGTGGTCCATGTTGTTTGTTTCTCTTCGCTGTTTAGTTAGTCCTTGTGGCGGTGGATAATGAGGCAACAGTGCGTTCGTGATCTGCCCGCCCTAAGCTTCGGAAGCTGTGGAGAGAATGCAAGGCCGGTGGGGATGGCTGCTGTCTGTGGTGTTAATTAAACTGACAGCGAGCATAATTAATCATTTGCCTCACTCAGGCTTTTAATAACTAGTCATTCTGGCCCCTGCCGCTGTCGACGGAACCGCCCGATGTTCTCGCCTGCAATTGAAGCGGTTTATCGCAGTTAGCAGCGAAGCAGCCGAAATTGATATCCCCGCTAGTTATATCACTACCTTAAGTGAGCTTGGGGGCCGCTGAACTGGCATTTGAGTCAGCGGAATCCAACGGGGGCCCCGATGCGCTTACTGGCGCTCACACACCCGTCAACCATGGAGATGGTTTCTAGTTCGAGTGTGACACCAACATGTAACTGTTAGATTCAATTGGCAAATGCCGGCTGGAGATCCGATCTGCTGCAAAAGATGCAAAAATATGACCTGTTAGTAAATAAATATACGTCCCAGACGACCAGCAAGGGCGCAACTACTGGGACCAGACACCAGGCATCGGGGCTGAAGAGTAGAGATCCATCTGTCTTCTATTCACCGTAGTGCCAATGCCCAACCACTCTGTCGGTGTGATTTATGCCAGATGACCAGCCATACCAGTAGTAGTGGACGCAGAAATTCAGGTGGGCGGTAGGTAGGGAGCCGTTAGTGACCCTTAAAACTGTTCCTCACCGCGCCGCACTGCCTGCACTTCCCCCTGGCCCTAAGTAGGTGAAGACGGAGACAGGTAACTAGACACAGGCCAAATGCGCACATAGCCATCCTCTGCCCCGTATCCCTTTGACCAGGGACAGGCTCCGCGGCGCTTCTTTGAAGAGACTGTTTCTGCTCGATGCAGCTGCTGTACTTGCAGCGCCCATCAGCTCCGCCGAGGAGGGTGGTTGACAACATAACTGATTAATCCACCACGCTTCCAACCGGTGTAGGTTGGAATAAAAATTGTCAAGTCGATCGATCAGTAGGCAAACGGAGATTCGGTGCAGGCCTCTTGCTGCGGTGGTGGGCATGGATATACTATCAAAGCGACAGGCAGGCAGGCATCCGAAAGTGACATGTCGACAACTCTGGTGATATTTTGGATGAGAGAGGAGGGAGCCATGTATTTCCTAAAGCGGTAGCCCAAAGAGGACGGCTGAGGTATATCCTCCCTCCCCTTTCTTTCCGCTAAGGCCCCTTGCAGGAACAGATTGTTCTCATGATGACGGCTCGACATCGCCTTGGTGCTCTCGGTGGCCCCGTCTCCATCAAATAATAGCCCCATCACACAATCCCCAGTTCCCAAGGGAAGAACAATGTAACCCGTATCCCCAGAGTCGGGAATTGCCCACCTGCTCCAGATCGAGTTGCTCACCCCAGACCACGCTCAATGGTGCTAGCGAGATACCTAATTGGTAAGTCTTCACAGCGAAACCAGCTTTCTCTAGGTCCTTCGCTACAGACTGCCATTACAAGTCCAGCGCCCAGACTGTGTCTCCATGATTTCATCAGCGTGGCTTGGGGAAGCAACAAAAAAAGCAAGGCGAGGATGACTCGCAAGCACAGTTAACTAAGCAAAAGAGCCCAGCTTGACCGTTCTGCTGGGTCGATTCGAGAATTGAGATTGGGCCAGCTCTGGTCTAGATCCTGTCATCATCCTCGCTCTCCATCGCAGATGTCAATCTCGATCCCCTGTTAGGTTGAGGTTTAGTCCTCTGGCTAGTTAAACTAGTTAGTGTTGGTTAGTTCCAGAGTCCCTTTCCCTTATTTGCTCGCACTATGTATGTATGTTCGTGCGCTCTGTGCTGCTCGCTAACTCTGCCCCTTAGGCCTCCAACTAACCGTATGTGTATAAAGCTCCTCCCTGGGCGGCGGAGGGACCATTCGGCTTGCCATTTCAATCCTAGCTTCAGCCGATGCCAACACTAGTGCTGGCTTCCATGCTCTTCTGCCGTCTCGGAAGAGGGTCCGAAGAATGCCATTAAACCGTAAAGGGTTAACGGAGTCTTCAGTATGAGGAAATTTCCCTCCTTTGCTGCTGCTTGTGCATCCGATAACTACACGGACACGGGGTTGTTTTTTCTCTCCACATGTCGCTTTAGCGGATCGTTGACAAATGCGGCTGCATTATCGGTTTCCCTCCCGCCATCATCTATACATAGTATCTGCGTGTCTGTGTATACCGGTGATAACTATGCAGAATACTCCGTACGTTGCCATCTTTCACTCAGCGTATTATCGGACAAGAGGGATAACGGGGCATCAAGCGACCCTGGGGGCAGGAGCCATAGCTATCCCACCCCCATCCTATATACAGAGTACCTCGACGCACCATTCAATGGCGTCTTTGAACATGTCGCGTTTGCTTGTGGCGTTTCAAATCCCGTGTGTACTGGGTGGTCGGAGTGGTGGTCGGAGTGCTGCAAGGGGTCGTTTAACTAGTTATCGTACGGGATTTCGTTTCTCATGTCTGCCGTAGCTTTTCCTTGGTAGTGAAATGATCAGCAACCTGTAAAGTCCCACTACAACCAAAAATTCAACCGGTTCTCGATGTCCGAGTTGGTGTGGTGGCTAAAAATGGTAGCTTGGTTGGTTATGATGAAGCTAACGCGCCATATAGAGCAGACGTCAGTATACTTTGTAATAGCAACGCTGGCCTGATACACACCGTATACCCCTGGGTAGTACTGCTTTTTGGCTATGCAGGGTGCAGGATGGCTCAATCGAAGCCAGGTCTATCATAGATGGAGACGTTTGATAGATTGACCACAATCATGATACAAATTATTAATAGAAGGAGGCGGTGCCTGAAGCTTCTTGGTATGAAGCCTACGCCGCAACCGAAGGCTTTCACATCAGCGAAGCCTCTTCCATCGATACACCCCATTGCATGATGACTTGCAGCTGCCTGTAAGTTTAATGACCGATGCACAAGCTACCGATATGAACAATACTTAACTATATACCCTGCCAAATGCGAGATGAGAGTACTTCTAAATTATCATTGAAAGCGTTGAGATATCTAGCAATTTAGTTGATTCTTCAGCGCAATCCATGTCGATGCTTAAATTTCGTTTGGCGGGCCCAGTACGCAGTATCCAACGTATGCAAGGCTTGAAATGTTGGATGGCGTTTTTTTTTAACTAGAATGAAACAGTGACCATCAAGCCCCCGGCTAAAAACTAGGAAAATGCCGCAAGTCGGAATGATCTGCTAGATTCCGCATCTTATTGAGTGCATGCGCACCCTGTGTATGCACTAGAGATTTGAAGACCCTAGCAGAGAAGGATGCCGACAGATCTTGAGATCCTGTTAAAGGGTATCGCCAGCCAACCATGTAATTCCCTTAGTTGTTGTCTTCGATTTCCTGTCGTGCGTAAGATAGAAAATCATCATGCAATTATCGAGCCATGGTACTGGACCCGGGGAAATTCGAGTATTGTATCCCCGTTGAACGTCAATCAACTAGTATGGTAGAGAAGCTGCAAGTGAGGTACTCCGTAGTGGGCAAATGTTTTCGCCCCCAACGTAACTTCTTCAAAACCCCATTCGCAGATTGTTTAAATTTTTCTTGCAATCAGATTGTGGCGGCGAGAGAGTTACCATGAAACTGACCAGTAGAAAATTAAGCTTGAGACAGCCATTCGCGGGATTAAATCTTTGAAATTGCCCTAGATACTCGATCCTCCCAGAGAGAAATGGACTACACTTTCAAATCAGTTGGTGAGGATTAACTATTCAACAATTTCGGATGTACGGAGTACCTTGTACCTACTTGCAATAAAAATGGGCCACTCGCATTTCTTCCAGGACTTGAAAAGACCTTCAATATTTCCCCCAATATTGTAAACCCAACTGCAGGGACTTAGTTGAAATTTTCGGTCGGGCCCGGTGTCAGATTTAATCTTGAATGGTAACAGTCCGAACGCTAAGACAGCTTATAAGTGGCATTATAGGCGAAAGTATTCGCCTTAGTTTCTGTAAGAGTGCCTCTGACTTGCTGTCATGGCCCAACGTACAGGGAAATTTCTTGATTGGACGGGGATGTAAGAGGGGGCCACTTAAGTGACCTTACGTGGAACATCCGTACTAAAATAGACGCTACCAAGCGCTGCGGTGTACAGTGGATGTCACGGCCCAGGGGGAAGAAATTCAACGTATAGGATGAGGATGACATGAGGCTAAGTTTCACAGCATCGTTCATATCAAAGGGGTATGGCCAGTAGTCACCCGGCCCAGTTGTATGCATTGCATTACAGGTGGCCGGCATGCTGGCAGAGGTAAGTCGAGTTTCAACTGCAGTGATCTTGCCCTTCTAGAACCCTCAACTTTAGAAAGATGGCAGGTGTTACCGGGGATAGCACTAATACCGGAGGTTTCTCCAATTCCTCATATCTGCTTCATGCATACTTGAAGCACTCATTGACTGGAACAGAACTAAGTAGTCAATCACTACCGGGTAGGTGATGTGCTCATTGAAAATGCTGTCAGATGCGGCGGTCATGCATCTTAGTGTAAAAATCAGGAGACATACCAGATGTAAGATCCCGTACAGTAATATCCTGATCCGGCGACCTTCAGTCATGTTACAGGCTATACTGAATGGCTGATATAGGTGGAACGAAGGTAATGCTCAAATTGTAACCATAGGACGCTGGCCAACCCAGAGGTATGAAATATGCAGGTAAAATGGTATTACAGCTCAGAGCCGCGGAGAAATTCAGGCCAGTTATAGTCGATCTCGCAAGTTAACTAAAATGATATACATCTGCGGCAGCCTTGTACCCACACGTGCATCTCCTCCTGTTCTTGCCTGGTATTGTAGACACTATGGGTATTATCATTCTTGGAATGACAACCCGACAGTTTGGGGCAGTCAGGCGCAGGTGGCTTGGGCATGATAAGAAAATAAGAGGTGTCAAGTTCTCCCTTGTTCCAGTTAGTAGATGTACGCTTGTTTGTCTTCAAACCGTCTTTGCCGCGGATTTGGGATTGAATGGGCCACAATTCCGGGAACAGAGGATCAGCTTTGCAGCTCTAATGCGGTGCAAGGTGCCCAGTTAAAGCAAGATAAGCTTTCTTATCCTCAATTAGAATCAGGTACGTTTGTATGGCTCTGTTGGGTATGATCTACCTGTCTTATGTAGGAAACGCTGCAGGGGAAGCCGTTAATATTGCATCTTCGCCCAGGAAATGGTAGCTTGCGTCTCTGTCAAACGCGTCGCGAGTTGATTTAGTTCCGGAAATTATCTAGTCTCATCTTTTCGGTCGTTATATCAATCCATCTGCGGGTGGAGATGCTGCCTATCTGTTGCTTGCCATACCACAAACCAAAGTCCGTAATAACCGGTCATCGAAAACGATTATTTCAAATCCAGGGAAAGTGGCACCATTTCAGATTCAGTAATTAAGACAGTATTCCCAAGCATCTGGTAGTGGATTCCGGGTAAGCCCTCTCAGCGGATCCCAACGCCCAAGCAGTCGCACCAGCCGCGACGGATGGGTGAAGGTTCGTCTTCGCACCAGTCCAGTCCAGTCAACAGTCAGCGAGACGGACATCTTTAACTCAGGCCTAAGCATTAGGTAGGAGCCATTACGACCTTTTTTGGTCCTATTAGATGTTGGTGTGTTGAGTATGTGGAATGGTTGAAAATCGGGCGCGATAACTAGCTAGTCATTTGGTTAATAACTAGTTAGCCAGCAAGCCTGACAGGCCAGCTGGAGGAGCAAGATCAGAATAATACGTTTCCGTGATTGGGCTAACCCAGACGCCCAATCCAACGCGAACGGCGTGTTGCGACTCAACGTCGGCGGTTGGCGAATTGATGAGAAGAGGTTGAAATATAAACGAGGCTATCTTATACTTTAACTAGCTTTTACGGATTAACTACCACTTTGGGATAGCCCAAAACCATCTTTGTCAGCAGCGCAGAAGCCAACCTCAACGTCAATCAAGTTGCCAAAAGTCTTCAAGGGACAAACAACTCCAAGGACGCACGAAAGGCTCGACAGCCATCTCAGGGGACATCACTAACCAAGACAAGTTATTGCTGACTCGTGGCCGCTGGGCTTCTGTAAGTTGGACAGAATGGCCGAATAACTCTCCTCTGGTTGCACGAGGGGTTTTTACGTGATGATGGCGAGCATGAGGCAGGGAACAGGCATCTTGGACTTGGACAGGCGTCTCTGCGGTACAGCCGGCTTTTTCCATGACAAGTGGATGTTTCGGAGCGTGGAGGACAGCGTACAGCTCATTGCTGTATGACAATTGTTCTCACTGTGTCCCGGAACGTGGTTCTCGTACGCGCGCTCCTACACCACTCGGAGTATATCAAGGCACACTTGCCCCCCACAGAACGTCATCGCCCGAGCTACCCCGTGTATCCCGAATCATCTAGGCCCATATAGCTGCTAAATATACACCTTACACAAGCAGTTCGCCACCACAGTCCGTATTATGGACTCGAAGGTATCCTGCTTTGACTGATGATAAATACAGCGTGTGCTATGGGGCGGAAGATAGCTCTGGTGTTACTCTGTCGAACAGGTCTCCAGGTCAATTTTGTTCTACCGCGCTGCATTTTCAAGCTGTGGATGGTATACTTCTTCCGCCGTCACTAACGGGGGTGCAGCTGCCACTTTACTTTAATATGACATCCTGCTGCTTAAGCTGCTGTCTCACGTCAAACTACCCAGACTAGGCAAATCGAAGCTATCCTAGGGTTGCCTCTTATATAGTTATCTGTGTTGATATACCCGATGAAGAACCAAGTAACCCGGTTGGCGATACACGTCATCGTCACCAGAAGGAATCCTATCTACCTTCCCCCTCCCTCTCCGCGCATACCTACCATAAAACACTAGGCCCTACCAGCGGCGTAGACGTACGAAAGTGCCCGGCAGAAGTTTGCTAGGCTTTGTGCTTGGGATGAATCTGAAAATGAGGCAAAATCTCTGTTCTGCGTGTCTGTATGAGATGTCTGATATCTAATATTTAGATAAATGACGGGTATCCTCTTCTTTCCGCAATCTCGCTATTTGTGTTTCGCTGTATGGAGTAACTATGGCAAGGCATATGTGCTAGTTCTTCGATAGTCCCGCGATCGAGTCGCGACCGCTGTGCATCCAAATGACTTGGTAGTTTCGCCAACTGTGTGATTACCTTCAACGACATGTTTGAGCCGATACTCGTCACCGACTTCGTTCGCTTGCTTGGCAAGCCTCCCCGTTGCTACATCTTTCCCTACCTACGTAGGCTTCACGCTTCCATATTCTCGCGCAGGCTGAGCGCTCGGGCCCAGGAAAAATATCTCGTTTTGCGTCCTTTCTCGGTGGCTTAATTTCTTTTTATCCTTCGTCTTTTTCCATCCGCGCTGGCAGGGAGAAATGCTTGAGTCAGCCCGACGGCCACTTATTTCCTTGGGACGGGATAATCCAATAATTGGACAGCGGTCCGACTTCGGCCTAGCGCCGGTCGTCCAATCCGGCCTCTTCATTAACCAACTTGATGTTGGAGTAGTTAGCGAGTCTAGGGGGAACACGTCTCAGAACGAATGCCTTGGGATGAATACCCTGCACGGAGTACCCCGTACGTAATAAGTGATGTAATCACATAATGAATGTAATATCCGTCTGGTGAACTGTATAGTCGTTAAAGCGATGAGGGAGGTATTTCTCTCAACCAACGCATGAGTTTTATTTAGTTAACTAGATAAGCCTGACATGAACTCGTGAATGGCCCCGGATTGAAACAATGCACTTGTTCTGCTGTAAATTACTAATGTACTTGTTCCTCGTCATTCTTCCCTGGGTTAACTTCGTGGAGAAATTCCCGATACACATCAATTTCCAGCCAAGCTGGCGCGCCTGAGGCTTTTTTTCGTATCGGATCCTCCAAGCCAATCAGTGCGGATTTAATGTCGCGGGACATTGAGATGTTAACAAGTTGATATTTCCATTTAATCTACGGTGTAAGCATACGCCATTAACTACCCGATAGTGAGATTCCCTTCAAGGTCGAACTGTTAATGGATTAGTCCGAGTTCATAAATATGAAATTAGTTAAGAGTTGGGTCAGGGATTGTAAAAATATGTTAGCTGGAGTTGGTTATTCTATACCAAAAAAATGAACATATCGAACCTTGCCCAGTTTTTACGAGTTCGGACGAGGCGAGATAACAGCAAGCTAGAACAAGTCCGCATATTTTCTGAAGTATAGGTTATGAAGCGTTGACAAGAACTTTATATGCGTATAAAAAAATCTCGTACTTACATATGTGAGGGATACACTTATAATCATACGTTAATTTTCCACCATATACCTGGGTTAATACCGGAAGGGTACTCGATTGAAAAGGGATTCACAGGGAGAAAAAGTAGTGGCACAGGATGTATAAGATAGAAGCCATTCAGAAACGTAGTTGTATCCTTGAACGCCCAGCAAAGAGATGTAATAATACAGAGGCCAAAAAGTATAGGGATTCCAAGGACGTCCATCGGTGGTAGAGATTTACCTATTAATGCGGTGTGTCCGAGATTTCGTGGAATGCAAAATGTACACTGGTGGTGGTAATTATAGTCATGATGATGTTCTATCAACCGGATTTTCTAGGGGAACATTGGTCTTGGGACTCTGGTTGCCTTTGTTCGAATGATATCGGATGTGTAGATGAGGGTGTAGAATAATTCAATTTTCCAGCGGGATATTGTTGTTGCGGCATTCTATTATTTGTCGGCATTGTCTCTGGGACCATGGATTTCACGGGAGCTGGGATAGGAGCGTCCGGAGATGCCCTACCCATCAGCTTCGGGCTAGGTTGTAGCCTCTGCACAGGGGGAACAACTGGCTGAACACTGACTTCGCTGAAAGAAGCCGGACGGGCAGGGGAGTGTTTTGTAGGACTAAGTCCAGACATAGGAATTCCAGGAGAGTAACGGTTTGATGGAGGCGTTTGGCTAAAAGAAGTTTGAGGATAGGTCGCGGATGAGAAAGAGGCACTTGGGGATTGACTTGATGGGCGGTATTGTTGTCGCTGGAGCTGTTGCTGTGGCCCCTGATAGCGGCTCTGATGCTGCTGCTGTTGGGGTGGTTGCTGAAGTTGGAATGAAGAATATGGAGAGTATCCATTAGCGTTACAATTGTATGGAGTACCTGGATATGTGCCATTTGTTCCAGGAGAAGGTGTGGCGGTAGCAGGAGCTGGGACGGGAGCGGGTGGGAACCCGGCAAGCGGGCCAACATCTCCATTGCCTTGAGTTGGGGACATAGATGGCCGATTCTGGACTGGGGAAGGGAAATTGCTGGGTATAGAGCCAGAAGAGGTGGGACGCTGGCTACTGAAAGAGGACATCATGTTTCTGGGGATTGAAGCTTGAGGTAGGGGGTGAGTGGTCGCAGGCTGGCGCCCATAAGGGGTAGCAACATTTGACTGAGAGGCGGGTGGATATGTCGGTTGGGGAGGAGCACCGTTTTGAACATATATCTGATGAGATGCAACAGGTGGAGGATTTGATGTAAATAGGCGTGGCTCCATTGGGGCCGGGCGAAATTGCTGGATTGAAGGAGCGTTCTGGTTGCTAGTGAGTTGATTCTTGGTGGAAACGGAGCCATTTTCAGGCTGAGACTCTCTCTTGGAAGGAGGTGAGGCTGACGATGTAATGCGAAACTTCAACGGTGGAATCTTGGGCCGTTTGGCTTCTTCAATGCGCTTCTGGCAGTCCTTGCATATGAAGTGGAAGTCGTCCTTCTCTGCCTCTTCTTGGGGGATACCAAGGCATTTGCTATGCTGCCACACATTGCACTTGTCGCATGCAACGCTGTGAGATCCATCATCCTAGAGGTGTACAGTTTAGTACATCGAAAAATCTAGGAAAGGGAAAAGGAAGTAATTGGGGTTGGTGTATACATACCAGGTTCTCTCCATGAATACCGCAACCAGAACAGTCGAATGTCCAATCTTCAACCTCGAGCTTCTCCAAACCCTTCTGCCGCTTTTCCAGCTCAGCATTGAAATTCCGGCGTGACAATCTCGCTTCACCTTCGTCAGCCAGCTTGGCCTTTTCAGTCAGACGAACCAGCTCTTCTTCCTGCTGTTTCCTCTTCTCCTCACGATCTTTCAGGCGTTGTTCACGAGTCATTAAGCGGTACTGACGCTCCTTTTCAATTTTCTGAGCCTTCTCCTTGGCCTTTTGTTCAGCAATCCGTTCAGTTTCCCGCTGTTTAGCCTCCTCTGCTGCCTGTTGTTCCTGGCGTATTCTGTCTTGTTTGCTAGCAATTCTACTAGATCTCTTTGCAGTGGCTAGTTTTTCTAGGGCTACTAGCTCCTTTTCTCTGCGTAGAGCCTTCTTTTGCTGTAGTTCCTCTACTTTTTCAATGACAGGCAATACATCTTCCACGAGGCGCTCATGCAGAGCCTGTTCGTTTAGGTCCTTCGATTTTTTTAACGAGTCAATGAATATGTTATAGTCATTCAATGTGATGGCAACACATTCCCATTCGTAGTCTCGGTTACCCTTTGACGCTGATGGGGTAGCATCAGCCTCATCCTCCTGACCATCGGTTTCATCGGGGGTATCGAGAACTTTTCTCCGTTTTGATGCGCGGACGCCAGCTCGACCTTTCCTGCTGTTTGCTTTCCGTTTCACAGGTCTCTCGGGCGGAATCTGAGGTTCTATGCGACGGTATAGACGATTATCATCAAGGACATAATATTGGTGTTCATCACGGTCATATCCGATTTCATTAATTCTCTGGAAGTCATTGGCACATGGTTAGTTATCCCGTTGATTGTATCAAAACCAAGGATGCGCAAAGCATACCCATTGTAATTGTTCTGATTCTTTAACTTCTCCCATGCGCTCTCGAAACCGATCCGGATTCCAGAGGGTCCATGCGGACAGCTGTTGTAAAACGCGTATTCTCTGGAAGATATCTAGTTGGTGAAACTTTAATGGGACCTCATCGTCTCCAAATGGGTTGCGGAGAGGCGCTTTCGCGAGGTACTGCCGCCGTGTGTACTCTTCAAAATTGTCGTAGCTAAGGAGAGTACACGAGGTTAGAGTATTGACAAACGGAGAGCGTTTGGGAAGGGATCGTACTTGAGACCACGGTGGGAGGAGACAAATTTGAGAAGATTGAGGCCGATATTGAGCAGCCTCTCCGAGTGTCCAGGTTTAAGGCACTCTGTCTCGAGTTCCTATGGAGCAATACTGATTAATATATGAGCTTGTACTTTTTACCCGGGTAGACAACGGACGCCCCTAATGAATAAGGAGAAAGGAGCAACGGGTTTACGCTATCTGTCCATGGTACAGAGCTACGCGAGAACCATGCATACCTCTATATCAATATCATCATCAAGCTTCATCGGCTTGCCAAATGTATATATGTACTGCATCAAGTTCGGGAACTCCCACATGTTCCGCAGCTGATGAAGAAGGCCATGTTCCTGGGGCTCTGGGGCGCTCTGAGGCTCGGTTTCCTCCCTGGCACGCTTACGCGACACCATACTGGGTTCTTTGTCGGTGGTGGGTGTCGGGTTCAGTCTGCGAGTCGCGATGGGGAATGCGATGCGATACGATCCGGGGAGCCTGGGCTTCGTCGTGGTATGGACGTCACTAGTGCTGGGATCCAGCAAACAGCAGTTCTCACGTCACGCCGGGTGTTTTTTCTAACTCTTTTTCTCTTATCATAGGAGGACGGCCGTGTCTAGGGATACAACGAGAGATACCGCGAAGATATTGACGACGAAGAGTCGAAGCATGAAAGAGTAAAAAACATCGCGAGCGTCTCAAGGGAAAAAAAAGCCGATCCTTGATTTTTGCGGCGAAACGAAAAGAGACGCGTAGGGCACGTGATGCTTATGTAACGAGATGCATGACGAAATGATGAAGATGACGATGAAGACGGCACGAGAAGACGACGATGAGGATGAGGATAATGATAATAGATAGCTCTTTCGTAGTAGACATCAAGGGAGCAGTCCTGTAGACCAGGGGGTTCTAGTACAGTGATGGTAGAGACAGGTAGCTGAGTATCCAGGGGCTAACGGGTAACGATAAAGATGCACAGGAGAAGCAGAGTAAATAATACAGTAGATAATAAAATCCGCCTGCTGCTTGGATGTTGCACTCGAGAGGCGCGTTGAAGGTGAAGGTAACAATAAGGCAAAGGACGAGTCTGCAAGTAGGTGAAATCAAATACGAAGGGAAGGGGAGGGCATGCTCTTCTAATCCATGATATCGTGACAGTGAGAAGACGAAAAAGGGGCTGACATGAAAACAGAAAAGGAGAGATAGAAAGAAAAACACGTATCCCGACCTCCCTAGCTCCAGTGACCAGAATGGACAACATGCGTGAATATGGGAAAAAAAAGCATAGAGAGAGGTAAGCAAGAGATGCAGATATCCCCGTTGAATGATTGCCGCACACCGAAGCTTCCACCCGATTTTACCATTCCACAACACTCGCGCGCCAGAAACGACCTGAAGAGGATAAAAAGAGGATATAACAATGTGGTAAAAAGAAGCAATGCAGGCCCCAGGAGGATATCCAGATAGATGGCAAGAAATTTGTGGGCATAAAAGCGGGCTTGTTGAGATATGTATTTGGGTATGTAGGTAGGGGAACAAGCGGGGAAGGGGGTCGTTGAGAAAACATATAAAAACATAGACAAGAAAAAAAAAGGCATATATGATGAACGCTGGAGTAAAAACAAGACCCCAAGGTAAAAAAAAGATATGGTACCTACTAATCTTTTTCTTTTTCGTTTCCTCTTTCTTCGTTCTTTTCATCATTTCCCAGTTTTGACTTCTTTTTCTTTTTCTTTCTTCGCCCGTTTGTTTCTGAGACTCGAACCGGGGACATTATTAGGTGATTAGACGAGGGCGTTGTTTCGTTTTTTATATCCCACATTATCCAGATTATTCGGGTTCACTTTTTCCCGTTTTATATTTCTCGTTGAAGCAGAAAGTTCACATTCCAGGACCGGCGCTGGAGCCATCGACAACATTGTCAGACAGGTTTATGAGAAGCTGCGCAAGGCATCGTTTAGTAGCAGCATCGTCACGAAGGACAGATGAAAATGTGGCGTCGCGAAGGGGTTCTGGCAGGCATTGACGAAGGGCTTCGCGGGCCCGGTTATTGTCACTGAGTCTAAATTAAAGTATTAGTTTAGTGGATGTATCAAGCTAACGGAGTTCTCTACGAGGACTTACCGCAAGAAGCAGCGGACGACGTGCTTTAGTAACCGGACGGTTTGCTGCTCAACAAGCTGAGTGACCATGTTGCTGAGGACTGTCCCAACGGCATAGAAGCGTTCATAGGTGGCACAGATATAGGCCAGGCCGATATCATCAAGGAGGATCTTTTGAACGATGAATATAGCCACAGTCTTGCTGAGCTCTGATCCGGTCTCCATTATTCGGAGACATAGAGGGATGATCTCGGTGGTTAGGAGGAAGTTGATGACATCAGACGAGTCGTTTTTGACTAAGGCGCCGATAACGCCGAGAGAGGTGAGGCGGAGATATTCAAAAGGACGGGACTTGGAGGTTGTGTTTAAAAAGGGGTAAAGGAACAAAGGTATATGGGCTAGACGATAGTATTAGCCTGGTTGGTGATTCTTAACACTATTGATAGAAGCTGGATTTGTGCATACCATTTAGGAATAGAGTCCGGGTCTCGTTATGGGATGCTACACACTGCAGCAGGGCCAAAGCATTGCATACTCGGTTCGAAGCAGCTGCAGTAAGCTGTGACGGGTTCAACAGCGGGTAGACGGAGATAATCTCTTGCAAAAGGGATGTCATGACGCCTAAATAAAATGTAAGCATATAATGTGTATATCCAAGACACGGCCGGTGTGTGTCCGAGGGTAACGGAGAAAGGGACTGTCCATACCAAATGAATGCCAGATAATAAGAGCGAGTTCCGGCACCTGTTCTCGCTTCTTACTCAATTCCATGAGAGCCGACTCTCGTCGGTTGGGGTCCAGAAGTTCGGCAACCCAGACGAGAACCTTCCTGTTCTCCTCGCTGACACCGTTGTCGATGTTTCCCGAGGCCCCGCTGCCGTTGTCCTGGCCGCCGGGAGCCTGTGAGTTGTTATTAACGCCACCACTCATGCCCATACGGCCATAGTGCTGCTGCTGTTGTTGCTGGTGTTGGGCAGCTGCCGCCGCGGCCACGGCCTGAGCGTGCGCCTGAGCATGCTGTGCGGCGAACGACGAGTGCTGCTGCGACTGCTGCGACTGGAGATGGGACTGATGTTGCTGCTGGTGTTGCTGATGGTGTTGTTGGTGCTGCTGGGCCCACGAAGAGTCGGCCTGGGGATATTGGTGCTGGTGCGAGAAGACGTGCGGAGCTTGACTCTGCAGCATGGCGAGAGACGAGAACAAGGGACTCACTCTGGGGAACTTCCCCAGAAGCGAATCGTCCTGGAACAGAGCTTCAAGCAGAGGGCGAATATAGGCGCGCGGTAATAAATGCCGGGAGTGCGACAGCTATGCGAGGCCAGGGAGAGCAAAGAAGTGTGTCTTGAAAGAGGGAGAAAGCCGAAGTTGAAGTTGAAGTTGACGTTGAGGTTGAAGAAGAAAAGGCGGGTGGGGATTCGCTCAGCTGCTGACTAAGGCGTTTACTCGTTTCTCACTATAAAAAGCTTCTTGTATACACAATAGAACAAGGACATGGAAGAGGAGGAAGACGAAGGGAAGAAGGAAAGCCATATACATGATCGTTTAAACAGCAGATTAACGGGAAGAGACGAGGACGTCGTCACCAGTTATGTATGTACCAGAAACACCAGATTTTAACATAGCCCCCAGCCATATTCACAGAAGAAAAACCAGAAGAAAGCCAGAAGTGTGCACCCATAAAATAATTCATATAACAGACATGGACATCGAGATCGCGTGGGAAACATTAATTGAGAAGCTGGAGGGAGGGAAGAAAAGTGTCGCAAAAGAGGCGAGCAACAGCATATCAAGACCGCTCTGTCCGCCTGCCGGAAGAACTGCTGCTGCTGCTGCTCGAGGTGTATGTGTATGACGAGCCGGTGTAGTACGTGGTTGACTTGTCGTCCTTTTTGCGGCCGAGCCCGAGACAGAGGGCGATGGCGCCGATGACGACGCCCAGGCTGGCCAGACCCAGGAAGCCGGCCTTCTTCTTCCTATGCTTCTCTGAGCTGACCCTTGACCCGCCGCCGCCGAACCAACCGTGGTGAGAGGAGTAGGAGGACGAGCCAGTGTAGTTAGAGTGTCTGGCTGGTTTACGGCCGCCGATGCCAAAGATGCCTCGTACCCGGTCAATACAGCTTCCCACACAACAGCAGATGCAGATAAAGATGAGTATCAGAGCACCAGCGATAGACCCGATGACGATACCGGCTATTGCTCCACCGCTCAGACCACCGCTGCCCTTGGTGATACCGATGACGCTGCTGCCATCGGTACCTACCGCGGGGATGAATGGGACGGTAGTGGTGGCCGGGATAGTAGTGACAGTGACGCCCTTGGTGCTAGTCGGTCGAGTCGGAGGAGTAGGAGCCGGTCCGGTGGTAGGGAATGGAGAGCCGCCCGCTTGAACGCATACAAGGTGCTCGTTACATGCCTGAGCCGCCGAACAGCAGATACTGCCGCATATTGTTTCTCCTATCTCGGCCTTGCACTGTGGCTGGCCCGTCGGCTGGGAGATCGGTCTGCTGCCAGTAGAGGTGACAGTGACAAAGTCGGTTTGGACGTAGGTCGTGGTGAAGTATTCCCATTGACCACTGCCAGCCTTCACAGGCTTGCACACGGCCTGGTTATTCGAGTCGGTGGTGCATTCTTCGCCGGATGTGCAGCAGGCCTGTCCGTAGTAACCGCATGGAGTACACTCTCGGGCCGCCAGTGACTTGGTAGGCGACGGGGTAGAAAACGGCGACGCTGCGACAAGCTGGAGCTGTAGCAAGAGAGCGAGAACGGGCACTGAAGCCCTACCCATCGTCTTCGCCAACATTGCCGGCGCTGGCTGTGTGTTATTTTACTTCTGCTTCTGCGGGCCGGTGACCACGCTGCCAACGAGCCTCACGGGGGGAGGTAAACAATCAAGGTATCGCAAGCTGCCAGGGATATATCGAGATGGCTGGCCAGCTCCGGAGAGGGAAGAGAGCGATTGCTATATGGTATGTGAGCGTCAATTAATGAACGGACCACGATGGGAGAGAAAGAAGAAAAGAAGACAAGACATGAAGCTGGAGAAAGACTCGAGGCTTGCAGGTTGGTCTTTGTAGATGGTGCGGCCGTCGCTCTGCCAGCCATCTTCTTATCGTCCCAGCCACGCCCAACCACCCGAATTACTCTATTCCAGCGACACCCTGGTTCCCGCCGCCGAGCGAGGCAGCTCTTGGTCCATGTCTTTCTTTCCCTTTTCCAGGGGGACCCTATCGGAAGACGGACGATGTTTCCAGACGGCTGAACTGCATCCACGAAGCTACGCCGCGAGACGCTCGTCGCTGTGCTGTTGGTAGCCGTAGCATAGCAACCGCTGAGCAAAGCAAAGCATCCCGGCCTGCGACAGTGACGCTGCAGGTTTTAGTTGTGATTTGGGCCCAGTCGCATCGCCAGTCCGACTCTTCGTCTCGCCAGCCAGTTTACTCTGCTTGCATTCATCGTATCATCGCTGAGCTTGTTGCTTTTCTTTCTTTTCTATCTTCATCTCGTCGTTCGTCTTTTTCCCCTATGCAGTTTGCCGACGGATGATCACGTGAGTACGTACGTTTTGTGTATTTTGACCGCGCATCTATCTACATAACGAGAAGAAGAGAAGAAGAGAAGAAGAGAAGCCATTACTTTGATACCAGGACCCTTCTGTCGCGCAGATGTGCTACTTTCTTTGTCGTTGCGGCCACATACAGCCCTTCAGGACAAATATCCTCCAGCGGTTCTCTGAGCCACTCATAAAATGCCTATCTGGATGACGAAACTCAGACAAGTAGGGGGTCTTTGTCTTCCAGCTCGTTGATTTCCACCTATGCGGTTGTCAGAATGCTTCAATATGGCCTGGTGTTTCGGCTGTCTTGTCGAACCGGAATGTCCTCTAGATTCAAGGCCATAACAGAGTCGAGCAAGCACGGCGGGAACCGCGCTGCGTGGTATAGCGTTCCGTCTTCAGGTTTGCCTTGAAACTAAACCAGTCCCTGGTAACGAGTTTGGGCAGAATCAGATATATATGGGTGAATATGGGCTCCGTCACCAGCCCAGGCATAATAGCAAAGAGCCTCTTCCAGCGCATCCATCGGACTTTACCCTCGTTTCATCCAGAGGGCAACAAGGAGGTAGTGAAAGGCAGATATCAAAAATGCCCTTTACCTACTGTTCGCCCCTCTGGCAAACGGCTGTCAGAGGAGAAGCGGGATGTGCGGCACCTCTCCAGAAGACCAAGTTCCTGACATGCTCTATACGCCGGGCCAGCAGGAGTTCAGGGTAACAACCTCTCTCCTCATGCCATCTCACTCCCCGATACTTTGAGAAAACGCTCCTCAGACGATGTGTTCCAATAAACAGTTCTTCATCGAGAAGCAGGAAATGAGGTTAAGGGAGAATTTCGCCTGATGCATTCTTTGATGCCTCAAATTGGCTTGGATCGCAGATACAGTTCTGGCACTGCGCTGGGAACACTCTCCGAGCTACCCTCGGCGAATTCTGCTCTAGCTCACGGCTCCAAACTTGCCTCTTCCATGAATGCCGTAAAAAGAACTGCGAGAATCAGGAAGTGAATGCCGCTCTGTGACTGGATGCCGGTTTGCTAATACATGATCACAACTATTGCATGCTGGGTTGCCACTCAGAAAAGGCTGGGGGATCCAAGCACACCAGTCGGACTTTTGGATGCAGACACTGTGCTAGATATATTTGAGTTCATTACGAAAAGATAGGACAGCAACTACTGCCTTGAAATCAAAGGTCAGATACCTTGTATAGACATTGGTAGAGTCATTGCGATTTTCGACTGGGCTGCGGCTCTCCTACGCTAGATAGAGCTAAATATGGCCCCTTTGTCTATGGAATCTACTACAATATCCTTTTCCAAAAGATACCCAACGCTAAAAAATGGAGCTGTGATAGCAAAGCTAGGGATCTGCCAAAACTGTCTCTAGAACTTGTTCGTTTCAGGTGGTAACCAGACCCTGGACCTTGTGGCCATCATAAACGATCTCGTCAGGGCAGACTTCTCCGTCAAAGGCTCGGAACGCGCTCTAACTGTATGAACCAAATGTGCTATTTTGCAGGTTATAATAGTACAAATATCACGCAGACGCACAGTTCTAGCTGGTCTACCACGTTAAACAAGACTTCGAGGCGAGAGTGCCCTAAGATTGAATTTTCGTCGCATGAACTGACGAAAATACCCTCGGGAACCACCCGTGTATACGGCCTGGGATGTTAGAGGCTGGAAACTGTCCCTTTTGAAAGGAATAGGAACTGAATCATCTTTGTTGGCAGGACCATAAACCCGATTCGCACATTTGGAGCGAAGGAACTGGAATCGGGTTAACGAACCTGAAGTTGTGAACTCCTGCCTCGCTGAATATTTTGTGAGGATTGCCCAAAAGTTAGGGCGCGATGGCATCCGATGGGATGTAATATGTCTGCCCAGCGGAAGAGTAGAAAAGCAGAAAGCGATGGATAAGATGCTGGACAACTATATCCAAGCTGCTTTTGCTATGGTGCATGATAAGGAGCTTGCTGATTTTACCTGGAAAGATGATGGGACTCCTGCGATTGCGATAGCCCTGTCCTCTTAGTTCACCCGTGGATGGACCGCCGCAGGGCTATTTGCAAGTAGTCGAGGCGGTGGAAAAGTACAAGTCATATTGAAAGACCCAAGGAGCTCTGAACTAGCGCTGAAAGAGCTTGAATACCAGGTTCTAACACCATTGGCGACACTTTCGCAGGTCGGCTGGTCTTATAGCATCAGCAATGGCCACCTGACAGTATCTCGGATTATCCGCAACGTTTGGGGAAAGTATAGGCATGGCCAAGTAAACTTGCTTCCCGATCTCCTGAAAGTGCTGCGACTCCGGGTAACCTCCTGGGCGAGGGATAAGAAGATACTAGCCGCTTTTCTGTATGTCGAGCCAGATGATCTCGACATGGCGCATGATTCGGTACAACCCACCAAGGATATCCTTTTTCGTAATCAATAAGCTCCTGATCGAATGCATTTACCATGGGGAAGCAACAATGTCCATACATGGTATCCTCGATATTCCACCTTGGAAAACGTCACCCCCGGTATATTGGCAGCGTAGTTCTCCTAGGAGAGCCACACTCCAAGCGACGCTATACCAGGAGACACGTAATCTTTGGAGGTGATATCCAGCTGGATGGAAGCCCTTCAAACCCGATATCTCTTGGTGGCTAATTATAATGCCCTTAGAGGCGTGAGGAATGCTTTTTCTAATGATAAAAGCCACTTGCTGTTGTTTACTTCTCTGTTGACGTCTTTTGAGGTACTTATTTATGGCCCGGATGGAGCCGATCCGGACCGTAAAATTTTAGGATCTGCAAATCACTCCAAAGTTATCTTGGTGCCTTCAGCATCCAGGTTGGCTGGTTGGTTAATATAGATAGAGTTGAGAGTTTCCCGTCAGCCGACAAACGTGGCTTTGTTTGGGTTTTGGCGGCGAAGTTGTGTAACTTTAGATACGGAGTAGTTTAACTTAACTCGCAGCCTCAACTCCACACAAAACACTTGGTCTATATACTCTCTATACTCATCCCTCATCTGCCTTGTTCACAGTACCATGGCTCCTCAATTCTGTGATAGCTGTGGGATGATTCTCGACGAACTAGCCAGCGAAACTATACAATGCGACATCTGTGGCGAACTGAATACAAGTTGGTTGCCCGTGTGCAGTCGTTGTCAGGCACATTAAAACTAGTTAACTAATATAACCTTGCCGTCCAAAAAGACAGGCTGCTCACGCAGACGAAGGAGATAGTGTCAACTTCCAGCAATTTCCCGTCGAAGCTACGCTTCAAGAGATCCCAAGTCCAGGTGCTGGCCACGCAGGAGCGCGAAAGCAGGACGATCCAGGTAGACTGTGAGAAGTGCGATGCAAAGGAAGTCACTTGGGCCGAGATGCAGCTGAGAAGCGCCGACGAGGGAAGCACTATATTTTACAGCTGTTCAAAATGCGGCCATAGGTAACCAGCAACCTCCTTATCCACAGCACGGCATGAAAAAGCTGAGGCTAACCACTAGATGTATTACATGAACTATAGGTGGACTCAAGATAATTAGAATTAAGCTCATCGTTGTTGATCTTTGTACATAGCTAGTTAAGGTTACGAGGCACGGCAGGCAAATCTCTAACTACTCTAGTGAAGTTAATATCTAGCATGCACAATGATGTCCATCTCACACGACAACCGTTTAAAAGGGTCATTATAGTCCTATGCGCTCTCAAAGATGGTAACCCATCATAACCACGAACATAGTAAGCCAGCCATACGTGGCTGCAGCCTGTGCCAGGGAGCCTGGGTTGGGAGCGGCGTTGGGAGCTGGCTGGGAGGAAGAAGCTGACGGTGCAGTCGTCGTAGTCATGGCGGTCGATCCATGATCCGTAGGTGTAGCCGTGGCCATCGAAGACGTCTCTGCCGATGTTGTGGGCATGGAGGTGGGCGCGTTGTCTGGTGTGGAAGACATGTTATGAGCCGTAGGCGACATGGTCATGGAGGTAGAATCCACGAGCGTGGTGCCAGGAGGCTTCCACCCTTCTAGAGTATCGACGCAGTAGCATTTCCCTTGTTTCAGGTGATCGCAGTCGACTCCAGGGTTTAGCTCCTTGAACAGCTCAAGGGGAATCTGGTTGAGGCTGATAATTTCTTCGCAGGTTTTGGCGTTTGAGGTCAGACCGAGACCGCACCCCGACGGCAAGACACAGTCTTCTGGGGTTGACTGGGCAGCGACTGCAAGCGCCGAGGCCAGCAGGATAAGGAGCTGGAAACGCATCTCTTGGGAGTTGGGAACTGAGAAATGAGGAGCGGAAGCAAGATGTTAGATTTTGATGTAGAGAATTCTGTACAGCGGTAAAAGAGGTTGTTGAGCGGAAGAGCGAAGAAGATTATATATTCATACATACCTAGGTACCTAATACATACGAAAAGAGCAGCCGAGGGCTTCCGAGGAAAAAGGGCGACGCTGGCCCACAGGGGGAGAGGCTGAGAGAGCGATAGAGCCTCTTCCTTCGTCAGTTTACGTACATACATACACTTGCAGCCTGCGTCGAAATGCACCTCGGAGGAGCAAGCTAGTTATGAACAGAGTGCACCGTAGAACCCTTGGGTTATTCCCCTGCAATTCCCCTGCAATTCCCCTGTAGTCATGGCCAAGGCAAATCCCGGACCCCGCCGGCAGAGGGAAAGGCAAATGCAAGCTGGAGGGAGTTAGAGAAGATAAGAGTAGAATAAACGGGGATACTCAAAAGGGTCAATCAATCAATTTTTGTGGCAAGGAAAAAAAGGACTATAAGTATAATATATGTACTGCTGCTCAGTAAGAGCAAAAGAAGAGAATAAAAACAGCCGTCCAAAAAGAGAAACATAGAAGCATTCGTTTCCATCCAGTTTTGCGCCCAGGTACATCAGTCAAAACGAAGAAGAAAGATGCGCAAGCGTTAGTTTGCAGTAGATATATTGTCATTGCAGACAAGTAGAAAATGTCATCAAAAGACAAACGACAAAAGACGAGGGGGGAGAGAGAGATAGATAGATAGAGATCAAGCAATCATTCCAGCGATGGCGATTGAGAGTCCTGCTAGGATCTCATATAGCGCCGACTGTCTGTGTGGTGGTTGCGGCGAGCCGTTGGGGGTGCCTCCGCCGTTCCCAAAGGCGGTACAGTAGCCCTCCTGGAGTCCGAAGCAGGCCCGCAGCAGGAGGCTGGAGCAGATGGCCTGTCCATCGCCCGTGGGAGCAGCACCTTGCACGGTGACTCCAGCGCCGTTCCCACCGTTGATAGTGACTCCGTACGCACCGCCGAGAGAAGCCGTGCAGGCTGAGAACTGCGACTGGCAGCCGGAGTAGGAGCGTACACACTCTGCCGAGTTATGGAACGTCGTCGGAATGTAGACGAACGGGAAGGGTGCTCCGGGCACTGTCGAACCCGTGGGCGTCGGGGCAGCAGTGGTTCCTGGCTGGGGGAACATGAAGCCCGACGAGGTCGATGTAGTGGGTGCTGGTGTCGGTCCGGGAGTCTGTGTAGGCCCCGGTGCTGCGGTGGTGGTGCCCATCAGAGTGCCGGTACACTCAGCGCCGAGGGGACAGCAGGCTATATGGTTCGCAGCGTCGCGGGAGCAGATTGAATCGGGCTGGCAGCAGGCCTGGGGGCTGCCCAGGATGGCACACGAGTTGAAGCGCGGCGGGCAGAGAGATCCTCCCGTTTGACGAGCCGGGCGAGTCTGGGAGTGAAGCCGAAGCCGAAGAGAGAGTTGGAGCGGTCGACATGACTGCGGGCTGCGGGCGCGTGGAAGGGCGCCATCTCTGCCGCGAGGACCGGGAGGATAAAGAGCAGCAGGAGGTTCGCCTGCGTCTGCATCATGGCTGGTTTATATATGATTCATGAGGCTCTTCTACTGTTGGCTCCTGTTAGCTCACGTCACTGCATAGTTGCATAGTTGCATAGAAGCTGGGCGGTGGTTGTTTACTTGCTTGGTAGTTACCTGGTAAACAAGTTGCTGGCGTATCTCGGTAGATATCGTAGAGGTCGAGGGATCGGACCGTCTAGACGTCAGCCATAAGGTGAAGACAGTAGTTGATGAAGAAGAAAAAGAAGAAGAAGAAGAGAAGACGAAGAAGAAGAGCGACATCCCCGTCGTCCTGCATCTCGATCCATGTCTTCGCTTCGCTGTCTCGCTGGCCTGGCAACGGCGCCAAGTCAGGCATCGACTTGACTCTTGACTGGCTGCGCGGGAGAAACGGACGCTTGAGTGACAGCATTAGTTGATTAATAGTGAAGGCGACGATGGGCAGGGCTGTTTATCTGTCTCCTTGTAGATGTTGATGTTGCTGGATCTTGATGTTGATATATCTATAGAGAGAGAGAGAGAGAGAGAGAGAGAGAGCGACGGCGAGGTCGGCCGGACAGCAAGCAGATATAGACAAGCAGATATAGACAAGCAGATATAGACAAGACCATGTAGACACGCATCAATAGAGATGATTCCTGCAGAGAGACACGCAGATCGTATCTGACAAGCTGGATGCTGCATGTTGTTGCATCTTTCGACGTCTAGCCAAATGCTACAGCGAACAGGCAAAGAACCACCAGAAATCGGCCACTCGCATGCATAAAAGCTGCTCGAATCTAACACATCCAAACACTCCATCTTCGGCCTCTCCTATGACATCCATCTCAGCCAGATACTAAGGGTCTTTAATTCGCTGCTTTGGTGGCGGATCTTTCGGTCTCGGTCTTTTTTACTATCGTCGCCTTTTTTTTTCTTTGCTCCAGCTTCACCAACACCACAAAGCATCGCAGCTCTCTGGCACTGGCACTTGCAGCTCGAGATAAACAGACGGGATAGGCGGATTCTCAGTCCAGCAGCAGCAGCAGCAGCAGCAGAGGCCTACTATGCCTTGAGCCATGAAATTCTGACCTAACCGACGACCATGGACCGCAGTTGACCGTCTCTTGCAAGCTCTCTCTCTCTCGCGCGCGCAGCGTCATGCAAACCAGCAGCACAGCTCGATAACCAACCACCCCCCGATTCCTTTTTCTTTTGCCCTTTTGCCTCTTTCTCATCATCAGCCTTCTCTCCGAGAGCGTATAAAGGATGTCTGATGGATCCAAGTCCGATGCGCTGAAGAGTACTGCCACCAGTAAGTGCAGCAACAGAAACACTCCCCATGTCGCCCTCTGCAAAATAACAAGCAACCATGGAATCTAACATGATACTCGACTATAGCTACCAAGCCGGTCTTCCATTTCGCCGCCGGACTCTTCTCAGGCCTCACATCCTCCATCCTCCTGCAGCCGGCGGATCTTCTCAAAACCCGGGTTCAGCAGTCTGGCCAACCTGCCTCTCTCCTACCCACTGTCCGCGCCATTCTAGCTTCACCAAATCCCATCCGCAACCTATGGCGAGGAACGCTCCCGTCAGCTCTCCGGACCGGGTTTGGATCAGCTCTCTACTTCAGCTCACTTAATACGCTACGACAGTCGGTGGCCATAGTCAAGCTACACGCTACGGGCGACAATGGCGGCAGTACCACCACTTCTTCGTCTTCTTCTTCTTCGCCGCGCACTTCAGCCCTGCCTAAACTGTCACACTCAGCAAACCTGCTGACGGGAGCTGTGGCGCGAGTCTCGGCTGGGTTTGTCATGATGCCCGTTACCGTGCTGAAGGTGCGGTATGAATCCGATTATTACTCGTATAGAAGCCTATGGGGTGCTGGCAAAGATATCCTTCGAACAGAGGGTATCCGGGGGCTGTTTTCTGGCTTTGGAGCAACTGCTATCCGCGATGCACCGTACGCCGGTCTCTACGTCGTGTTCTACGAGCAGTCCAAGCGGTCTCTGTCTGCCCTGCTATCGTCTCGGCCCCGAAATGAAACAGACGCAATCTCGCCAATGCCGTCTGCGGCTTATGTCCACTTTCTCTCCGGTGCACTTGCTGCTGGCTTGGCCACTGCAATCACAAACCCGTTTGATGTTCTCAAGACCCGGGTGCAGCTAATGCCCTCCAAGTACCGCAACATGTGGCATGCCGCAAAGCTAGTCATGCGCGGTGAAGGCGTACGGGGTCTGTTCGGAGGGCTGAGCTTGCGTATTGGACGGAAAGCTATTAGCTCAGCTTTAGCTTGGACAATCTACGAGGATCTGATTTTGCGTGCTGAGACCTCACGGTGGGCCCAGCAGGAGAAGAGCTTGTTGACTTGATTTTAGCCCTCTGTTTCCCACCTCTACTCATCTGTACTATTATTGTTATTATTATCGTCTACTCGCTATCATGGAAGGCGGGTGTTGGATCCAGGTGTACGGTGTTCTAGCATTGGTTCTGGGCACACTAGGTATGTTTTACGTATGTATTGTTGGGTTTGTTAAAAAAAAAAAAGAGGAGCATCCAAACATTTATATCCTAGCTCATATCAGGAACGATTTTCAATATGTGAAGTTAATAATTATCAACAGTATTATAAACCGTCTAGGTTTCGAAATATGGGAATTAAAAAGGGGACAAGGGAGGCGGGGGGTATAATTTGAGTCACACATTAAACACCAACGCACACTGCATATCCAAGCCAGAGGCTTTGACAGCTTGTGCCAACTGCTGGGTTCCATTTATACAAATTATCCAGCGAGATACCGTTGGTCACGGAGATGTCCCAGCAGGTATCTCCGCTCACAACGGTGTGCCATTTCTGACAGTTTGGATTCACACCTGCCTGCGTGGGCGCTGGTGCAGGCACTCCAGGCTTGGTGGGAGTTGACGTCGGGCTGGTGGTTGGAGTGGGAGTAGGAGTGGGCGTGGGAGTGGGCGTAGGCGTCTGCACAGGGGTAGTGCGGTACCAGTTTGCCCGTGGGTCGCCCAAGCATTCTCCAACAGTAACAGCTAATAAAACCAACAATATTAGCCGACTAGAACCAAAAATTTGATGGAAATAATTGTAGGGGCGGGACAGGGGGTCGGGGGGAAAAACGTACCTTTCAAGCCTCTTCGTTTCAACTCGTCCAGCATCTTTTGGATGAGGAGGTCAACAGTGGTCTGGTGGACATCGTGAGCCAGTGCAATGCTGCCGCCTGCGTCTAGGCCGTCCTTAAAGTTTTGAATACTGATACTAACACCATCAGGAGTATCGTGCTCATAGTCCTTGGTGTCAATATCAGCGCCGATAACATGGTACTTAAGGTCGGTCATAGTCTGCAGAACCAAGGAGCTGTATGCAAAGTAGGGCACGCGCATATAAGTTGGGCGGTATCCATTGGTCATGGTAGCGAGAACATCATCAAGCTTCGTCATTTGAGAGATGATGCCATTGCGATCAAGAGTGGAGAGATCAGCGTGGTTGTAACTATGACTTTATTAGTAGGCTACACAATGGCGAAATTCGGTTCAAAATCACTCACGTATGAGAAGCAATCTGATGCCCGGTGTTAAAAGCACGGAGCACCACAGAGCTGTAGTCTGTGATAGATCCAAAGTTCTGGCCATTAACAAAGAGCGTTGCCTTGGCTCCATTTGCATCAAAGATATCCAGTAGCTTGTTGGTATAGGCATAAGGACCATCATCGAAGGTGATTGCAACGGTGTTCCTTACGGTGCAGTCTGTGATGACTTGGCCAAAGGGTACCGCAGCAACCAAATCAGGGGAAGTAGATGGGGTAGGAGTCGATGTGGAGGTCGAGGTCGATGTTGAGGTTGTCGAGGTGGACAAGGTGGTCGAGGTGGACGTTGCAGTTGGAGTTGCAGTTGCACTCGTTGGAGTAGCAGGTGTGGCTGTTGTAGTTACAGACTGGGAAGCTGTAGTAACAGGTTTCGACGTTGAAGTGGTAGCAGGTTTTGTCGACGTGGTTGCAGGCTTGGTCGTTGTAGTGGTAGACCTAGTGGGAAACTTGGGCAACAACCAGTCGGGAATCCATGATTTACCCACCACCTGGGGTAGCTCAGGATGCAATGGTCCGGCTACGACACAGCAGGCAAGTATAGCCGCAACGAAGAATGTGTACAGTCGCATCAACATGATTGTTGATACCAATGCGAAATATATGTATATATATATGTACTGAAGACGCAGACACAAATAATATCCAGAGGGAAGAAAGAAGATAGGAAGTATGAACGAACGTCAATAAAGAACGTGTGGTATAATAGTTATGTAAAACGAGTGACAATTGACGGCGAGCAGATGGCCTTGAGCAGCGTCAATGAGCATAGTACCACGGAAGTGCTATGCCTTCTTTATATATTCATATCCCTGCCCTTGACCAGAACGGACTATCGGCATTAAAATAAAGGAGAAATTGAGAAACCGGAGTGCCTCTCGTACTCGGCAACAGACGTGCGGGTCTTCCAATCAGCCAGTCAGTGAGATAGCAGGGGTAGGGGTAATTGTTAGAGGTAGGCGGACTGTCCCAAAAGTATGGCGGGTGTAGATGTGCACGGCTCCCGCCAACTCCGACCCAGAGGATCTAGATGCAAGGGTGGACTGGAAGGCTCTGTATCAAATGCTTGCTTGCAGGCAAGAAAACGCCCTGCAAGGAACCTGACATATTTCCAAAGTTGCCGCATATATGACTTGTCCCTGCATATACCGGCAATAATGGTGCATATGTATCTCGCTTCCCTGCTGAAATACCCATGTTTCTTCATTTTCGTTGAGCGACGGAGATACCGGGCGAGCGACCGTCCTACTTTCCATAATCATTCGGCCGTGGAGTCATGTCTCAACGATGATGTGCTCTGGACTGACTATCGTCTCATCCCTCGCTACACCGTGAAAAACGATAGCACCGGAGAGAAACAAGACCTTGACCACCGTTGTTCTTGAGCATGGAAGAAAGTTCTCCGCCCAGGGGTATCCAAGGAAAACCACCAATGAAAACGCCATCGTGAAGCCCATCTTCGCTTGACATGTGGGTGTTGCCTCATGGTCGATTATAATCGATCGACTAGTCCGATTCTAGGTGCCGAGGTGGCGACGGATCACATCTATTCCAGACACAAGTCTAAATATGATCATTATTTCGCTCCTCCATGGCTCTATTTTTCTCTGCCCGCTCTGAACTTTGTCCCAAAATAGTCAATTGTAGCCGCAATGGCCCTGTCAACGGCGCCATTCTATCCGTTTGCGAGGGTGTCGACAGAACTTTGCAAGAAACCCTCCGAGGAACAGAATCTGCTAGGACGTTTCATGAATAAAGGCGATAAAAGCAAGTGAACACTGGAGGCTTGCATGGTGGCGTGAAGCCGCCGCAGCAAGGAAAATCGCCAGCTTCTCCGGGGAGCCTGACGGCAGTTCTTCCATCGACAACGGAAGCCAGGTTTTAGGAGAAGCCGTGTATCCGTGGAAGAACAATTTAATATATGTTGGACCCAACTGCCTGGGTCAGAAGCTTCTCTGTTCGCGCACATATTTCCAATCCTGGTTGACTTGGTTAGTCACCGAAACACAGAAGCACTGACGAGATGGATGAGGGCCAGCAGGGGTGAATACGAGTTTAATCTATGATGGTTCAACCGAGTCATCGTTCGTTACTCTGTGCATCTAGTGAGCTTCCAAGGTTGCCATTCGGTTCTTCTTTGGTGTTGGCGTTCGATGCAGCTAAAAATATACTTTTTAAAGTTATTTACATTCAACTCTCACTTGAGTGAATACATGCTGGTTATTGGTCTAAGTGAATTTAATGAAGCCGCCTATGGGAAATGTAATTCGTCGGTTTAGACTCGAAGAACCGAAGCGAGCTTTGATTAACCAGTTATATAGGCTTAAATACAAGAATAATAACCAATAATTACTAATACTATTTATAGATTCTTATCATGGCCGTTTTTGGAGCCAGTGTAAGGAGGACGAAGTCGGTTCAATATACTCTACGGAGTATGGATATTGCTCCTATTCACTATCTCTTTGGTTTGTAAACATGGATGGATTATATAATTGTAAGAAGTCATAATCATTCAAAGGAAGGGGAAATCACGCCACATCAAATGGACACTGAACATATATGGATCGTAGGGACAATATGAAATGTAGAAAGATGACAATCCATAAAATCAAAAAAAAAAAAAAAAAGGAAGAAACATATATACCAACGCATCTACCAAAATAAACCTCTCCGGTCCTGCTTCTTCCTGACAAGGTATAAGCCGTCTTTCTTTTTGTCATTGACTTTCATCTCAACTGTAACAGGGCCGTTGTGGGGAGAAGCAGTAAGGACACGCTGTCCGCGTAGTTTGCGGGTATGGTCAAAGAGTCTGTCTTGCTCCGTTTGGCTGAGGGAGTGGTAGATAAGCATGTAATCGGCATCGTTCTAGAAATCAGGCCGTGCTGGTTAGCAAGCAGTCCCCGGGCAGTAGAGGCGATAAGTGGAGAAGGAGCCAGCACTCACAGGATCAAATTCCCATGTCAGGCCAAATTCATCGAGACTTCGAGGTTCGAGATAGCGGCGGTGAACCTGGGAGAGCAAGAGTTGTTATTTAATCGGGGTTCCAAAGGGAAGATCTCGAAAGCACGGGAGGTAGAGAGGAAATGGATATGTCTGGAAACATACCTTGACAAATGCCTCCTCGTCTTCTATCGACTTATGCTTTCCGTGATGTACGTGTTTTTCGACTTGGACAACCTCCAGCTCCTTAATTTGCTTGCCTTGCTTGATGGCATTAATTTTGTCCTCCGAGAAACCAGCAGTACCTAGCAACTGGTTTAGCTTATCATTAAACTCCTTCTGGGCCTTCTCAGCCTCCTCTCGTTGCTTTGCAAGCCGTTCCGCCTCCCTCTTCTTGTACTCTTCAACAGCACTGGCTTTCAGTTTCGCCTCCATCTGCAGTCGCTCCATTTCTTCCTTCTCCTTCTGGGCGATTTCAGCCTCGATCTTCTCTCGGATCTTCCTTTCGTGCTCCTTCTCCTCACGCTCCTGTTCCAAGGCTTTCATTCGTTCAATGAGGAGGGCATCCTCCATTTTTCGCCGGGCAATCTCATCATTTTCCATTTTCTTGAGCCTTTCAAAATGCATTTCCTTTTCGATATCTCGTCGGCTCAAGCCCTGTTCCTCACGTTCAGGTCGCTTCTCTGGCCGTCCCATCTCCTGCATCTCCTGCATCTCCTTATATTCCTGCATTTTCCTCCATCGTCTCAGACTTCGAATTTCCTCTTCTTTGGCAATACGAATTTCTCGTTCCAGTTCTGTCTCTTGTCGAGGTGGTGGTTGTGGTTGCGGTTGCGGTTGCGGTTGCGGTTGCAATTGCAATAGCGGTTGTGGTTGTGGCTGTGGAGGTGGAGGGGGCGGTGCAGGAGTATTTACATTGCCCTTGAGGCGTTCACGTTCCTCCTGGCGGATGCGGTCTTCACGACGCAAGCGATCCTCTTCCTTTCTCATGTCATCTAATTCTCGCTCTCGTTGCCTGATCCTCTCTAAACGAATCTCGGCTTCGATTTCCGCTCGTCGAGAGGGTTCTTCACGTTCCAATCGACGAATAGCCCTGCGCTCGTGACGAATAATGTCATCCTCCAGGTCACTCAGTGCGTCGGCTATGACAGGTCGCCGTTGGGAGACGGATCTTGCCCGGCCAACTGGTGCCTGGGGCACAGCTAGCTTGGTGTTTTCTTGCACCCCTTGATCATTCTTGATATCTATGTAAATATGAGGATCCCCACCACGGTATGGATTGGCTACGGATGCAGAGCGAGGCCGCCTTGTTTCTTCAATGATGACCTTCTCACGAGATTCACGAGGCCGACGGTGGATACGATGGTAGAACTCTTCTTCCGAGTCAGTATCTGAGTCCGCGTGGCGGTAGTATTTCCGATACATGGCCGCCAAATTAGCAGGAGCTTAGTGTAAATTTTATTCAGGATGGATGTCGACGCTGGCGTTTGTTGGCTAGATGATCGTAGAAATGTTTGGGCTGCAAGGTGGACTGGTAGGCGTTATCTTGCCTCGCTGGGAAACAGACGCTTGTTTCGTTGCGGATGGCGCACGCAATTCCAGAGAATAGGAATGTCGAATCCAGGCTTAGGATACACTGGCCACGGGTGTATCGAGAAGCTCTCGATATTCGATGCAGGGTAGTTGGATGGGAGAAGATGGTTGAGAAAGTCTGCCAGAGAGTGTTGTTGACGTCGACATAAATATACGTGCAGCCCGGGAAAAGGTGGGCGCCAGAGCCGCAAGCGAGAATGAGGGGCTCTTCTGATAGGGCAGCAACCAAGGAGTCTGTTGGCGCCTGGGGACAGCGCAAGGCTCCAGCTCCAGGTTTCAGAACGGTGCAGAGCGTTCTCGAGGCTCGCCGCTTAGTGGTTTTCCACGCCTTGTCGATGCCGCCGAGATACAGAGTATGTATGTATGTAGGCGCTGGGGTTTCTGCTGCCGGGAAACAGAATCAGGTTTTGTCATGCGACGGCTTGCGGCCCTGTCATTCATCACGCCCATGGATGCTGTGTCTGCCCAGCAGGGCGGCTAGCAAAACACCGCCGGCCCCGTCACGGGAGAAAGGGAAGCCCAAGTATGGGGCACGAAGCAGGGTCAGCCACCCAGCCACCCAGCCACCAAGACGTTGGGCATGCATGGCTGATGGCCACCGTCAGCCTGACACCGGTTATTTTTCGAGGGCAGCATTGTTGCCCTTACTACTGGCTTTGCAGAGACAGTGGACTGTGTGATTGTGCCGTATCATCCCCATCGTCGGGCATGCAGGGGGTACATGCTCCGTACTCCACAGATAGACTCGTCTTAGAACAATCGATCAATTACAGGATGGTTCCATGGCTCCTTGAAAGGTTAACAGCACTTTAATCATTTCGGCTGCACAACTGCGTCATGGCGACTATGGAAAGGAGAGCGCTCTCTTGGTACTCCAGAAGGAATAACGACCTACCTAGGTAGCTAAACCTTGCAGATGGCTTGTATGCTGTACTCCGTACAGAGTACTCGGTGCGCTGGAATAGTGAACCCAGGCGAATGTCTTGCATGGTCGGGATCTGACTCCTGTCCGTCGAATTCCCGCATGAGGAGATACATCCAACCGCCGGGGTGAAACGACACTCCCTAGCATTGAAACCAGCCTGTAGCACATAACACTTTTCATAAACCATTCGTTCTGCGTGAAATCGATGTTTTGGCGGCTTTCCACCCATTATTGCGGTCGTCAGGCCGCAGCAACCAAGGTAGAGAGATCCACCCTTGCTGACGTGCCTGAACATCCCATAACCGTCCAGAATTTAGTGGTGCGTAAAATCCCCATCTTACGATCTCCCGCCACTCCGTAGCATCTGTTCTATATGTTCACGACTATTTTTATGCGTTGTCTCCAGATAATGTAGCCTCTTTTCAAGAGTTGCAACCTCTGTTTTTAGTTCTTTCGTTTCCTTTGATAGTCGTGTGTTCACTCTATCTATCGGCGTGGCAACGAACCTGTATGATGCAAGACACAAAGCAGTTAGCCTACAATTATTTTTTATTAATGAAGTAACCTTTTCCAGCAAGGAATCCCATGGTTATACGCACATTTTCCCTACGCCTTCGTACACGTTGGTGCCGTTGGGGACTTGGCCAATCTCCCCGGACGTAAGCTCTAGTAGGCGCATTTCCCGCTGCTTCGTGGTTATCTGAGTCCTGACGACGTTGATCTGCTGTTGAGCTGCAACAGCCTGCGATTCTATTTCCTGCACGAGCTATTTCATTGCCAACCACCATACTGTCAGTGTTTTTGCTCTTCTTGATTCAAAACGTGGGGTGAGCCATCTTTCTTACTTACCTTCTGGAGTGCCTCATTCGGAATTGACATTGCTGCGGCAGTTGATACACGCTTCGCGAAATATCTGGAGATTGTAAACTCGAGCGTAATATGCACAGAGAATGAGGCCGTGAAAGCTGGTTGCTGGCTGAAATTGATCGAGGCTTCAAGTTTGCATCTTTGGCTGAGTGAAGATTGATCATGTAACTAACAGGCGGCTTCACTTTATCAATGTCACGTGATATAACCCTTGCCCAGAGGTCAGGTGAAGTCCTGGTTACCTAATTTCATTTGTTTTTTCCTTACCGAAGGCGATGAAAGAATTTTCCATCTACATACATCCCGTTCGGACCTGGAGTATGTCTAGGTTAGCTTATCTAGTATCTTGGACTAACATTCAATAGACCCAGGCTCAATACCCCAGGAGGAACCAGTCTATACTCCGTAAGCACTGCACATAATGCCTGGTTGGCAGCGCACTTTATACCCTCTTGCCAAACCAGTACTCTGGCGGAAAAGCTATACCTAAATTCTAGGTCACAGGCGACGTCCATTTTCTAGAAATCTGGGGTTGCTTATCTCTCTTATACGTGGGAGCGACTGGTTCTTTGTGCTCAAGGCTCTCTTCGAACCAGATGTAGGAGACCTTTCACTCGATCATTTCAACCATCACAACTCGCGACATCACATGGCAGTATCTTTTATCACAATCACGCTGACGTCTA